GCCAATACTCTTTAATCGCTCATCGTCATGAATGCCATCTCTTCCGTTGTTTCTTGGGCTGTGTTCGCTCCTTCTGCGTTTCGTTGTTCCGCTTTTAGTTTTAGGCAATCCGATTTCCTGTTGCCCAATTTTCCACATGTGAAGCACTTTCCGCTGAAATTCTTCTTTCCTTGAAATCCACTACTGCCCCATTGTTCCTATTGAATTTACCGTTTGATCTTTCTGGTACCTTTGTCCGTAACTTTTTCCGTTCGAGCCTTTCTCGTCTGGGCATCTTGATCGGACTTATAGTTTGATCACTGCAGCCTGTTCCGATCTTCCACAGTTCCTGCATCTGCCTTGAATTTTTTTCCTCCAATCATGAAATCTGTTTCGCCATTGTGGTATGTCGACTTGTTCCGTGCATTTAATCTCATCGTAGATTTAGCATAAGTCATCCACCACAACTCTTTACCGTTATTCCATGTCCACGTTGCTTGATCCTTCTCAGTAACATTCTTCTTCACTTCATGATAAACATACCGGACTAGCTTCCTTTCTTTCCGGCCCTTCTGAGAAGGTCCTTGATGTACTCTTCGCGCCGACGACGGGAAGGTCCATTCTTGAACCCGTGCCTTCGCTAGCTTCTTGCTTTCACGTCGGTCCAAGCTCAACTTTTTGGGTTCTCCTAGTCCATCTTTATCGCTAGTATTCCGTTCGTCGAGTGCCACCTCACCACTGTCTTCAACATCGAGAGGTCCAGCATTGACTCCCACATGCCCTTAATTTCCCAGCAGCATGGTCAGTCGTTTGGTGTGAGGCCGTAGGTCGATGCGACTTGCCCTTCGATGGTCTCCACATTGATCGAGTCCAGCAGTATTCCAGCAGCCTTGCTGTTCTTCTTCTGCAGACTTTCGACCTTTTCCACTTCGTCGTCCGACAACTTGCCCGTACCTGTAGGGTTTTCCCAGTTGTCCGGTTTGATCTCCGTAGAGTCCTTCATCAGTTCTACGTACCCATACTTTGATAAATGGGCCATCATCTTGACCTTGTAGAACCTGAACTTCTCATCTTTCCCATCGAAGATGGGATACTTGCTCGACGATGATACCTCTACCTCCGTAGACATCTTGACTTACTTCTCAACTCTTCTCTTTTCTATTTGATAACCTGGATCCAAGCTCACTCTTTCCTGATAGCTATCGTTTTAAAACGTGTTGAAAAGGTGTGAACTTGAACGCACAATTTCTCTAATTTAATCAATATCCTTCCAGCTCTACTGTCTAGTAGGCTGGCTATTCGTTTCGTTTTCTCTTTCTCTCTCGTTCAGATTGTGAGCTCTACAACTGAGCTCCGATATGCATACATATACCAGGATCCTCTGTTTCTCGCAGTTTCATTTGCAGATAGATCTCGTCGATCTATCTTCCTGAAGTGCATGGTTGGCCCTGGAGGGCTTTCCCACTTTACTAAACCTATGGACCTTCATCTGTCCATTCATTTGCTCCGTCCCATCGCTCCTTGCATTCGTCTCTTCGGCCTAACTTCCTAACCTTTGTAGTTGCATCATCTAGACGACCATTGTCGTCGTTCCTCGTACACCTGGCCATCTGATGATGATCGGATAACCATCTGATTTGAGTCACACATCCTTAGTCACGAACCGTGACTGCGGATCCCGAGTCGTCTGTCCGTCATACGAAAATACCTTTCTAACACTACACTACTACTCTAGCTAGCTAGCTAGCTCTAGCTAGATAGATGGACGCAATTTCGGGACGCAATCAAGTTGTGTGCTGTCTTTCGAGACAGGCACGCGAACTGGAGTGACAGTCTGCTGGCTACCGCTACAATCGAATCGAATCCTTTGCAATATCTTAGATCCGGCTGCAGCGCAAGTCGGAGTCTCCAAAAAGATCCTGCGCATCATATTTCTCACCCATGGCCACACCACACCACACCTCTAGTCTATCTTCCACCACTCTTTCAGACTGTGAACTTTCAGAAGCTTAATTGCGTTGTTGTTCCATCGACCATCCATTTTTAGTTGAAAGAGTTGAAAGCCACCATGAGCATGAGCGATTCCCTCGGCATGGCTGGATCAACAGAGCTCAGCGTAAGTTCTTCGTCTCGCGGTAAGGATTCCAGCAAGAAGGTCCAGTGCGTCTTGGATCCTTTGTTGGTGAACGCAGACAGTGTGTCGTTGATGGAAAATGTGGGTCTTTCCATCTTTGCATCTGCGTGCAGTAAGAACCGCGGTGCCTTTGTGCTGCAGCCTCCTGATGGACCTGACGGCAAGACGTATGGCTGCTTGGCTTTGCCTGAAGATGTCTTGGAGATGCTGGGAATCAGTGATGTCATCCACGGCAACAGCAGTAACTCGACTGGAAACCTTACAAACCTCACTTTCAAAGTAGACAACGTCGAAGACATCACCAAGAATTTCAAAAATGGAAATCTGACGGCAAGTGACACTGTGCAATTGCTCAACCTCCTTGTCTCCAATGTCTACCATTCTACGCCCAACGTAGAAGCCACTCCTTATGCCTGCGACGTCAATGGCTTGGTCACACTCGAGTGTGACAACAGTAGTACTGGCACCAGTACTACTACTGGCAAGAAAAACCCTATCAGAGCTGTCACACTGGCAGGAGTCTTCACGCCTGCTCTTTGGGCTACGGCTGGCCAGAACCTTACACTCGATCAGGCTGCTTCCTTCTACACTCACCAGGATTTCAAGCAAATGAAGAAACTGGGCATCAACACTGTGCAGATACCCATACCTACCAAAATGTTCTCGGAAGAACACAAAGACGCACCTGAATGGCAAAGCCTTCTCTTGGATGTTCTTGATCAAGTGCACGATGAAGGGTTGGACGTCATCCTCTTGCTGGATCAAGCAGGTAGTCGTGCCGAAGATGTGGCCAAGCCAGTTGAGGCAGCGGCTTCCTTTGCACAGGATTACAATTACAATCACAAGAGCTCGGAAAAGGTCATTGTTGCTTTCACTTTGCCTGCCATGGATATGGCACTGCTCGAAGCCGCAAAGAAAGTTGCTCCTGATCTACCGCTTTGGATGCCCACAAAAGGAGGAGACTTTACCAGACTTCACGATTACACAGGAGCAGCAGGGGCTTCTCTGGAAATCACACATACAGACACTATCGCCGATGTTGCTTCGTCTTCGAGTCAGGAAGATAGGGCCAAGCTATTCTACCATGAGTCAACTGCGTGCATTGCTAGAGCTCCTCTAGAGTACAGCGCTTGCTACCAAGACGTTCCAGTGGTGGTTGCTAGTGGGTTTGATTTGGCTAATGACGATTGCCATTTGCAAAACATTTCTCCCAACTTCAAGGATTATGGTCAGTGCGATCGATTCAATGAAACCATTGACTCGCCGTGGTGGAAGGATCATCGATTCTCTTTTGCAGCAAGACAGCTCTATGCTTACGAGCAAGGCGAAGGATGGTCCTTTGCCACTTGGAAGTTGTATGGCGCAGATCCAAACTCTGTGGGAATTCTCGATGACCCTGCAAAGTTGTTGGCCCTCCAAGAAGTCGTCGCTGCTGGCATCATGCCCTCTCTTCAGGACTTGGATCAACCTATCGTGTACCCCCTCAAGAAGTCTTCATCCCCCGTTGGATTGGCTTGCCTGAACCCACCAAAGAGCGACTTCGTTCTCGGCGATGCCACCTTAGCCCCGACACCTGCCCCACCTCCGTCCTGTGGCAATGGGTGGTGGAACTTCACAACCGAAAAGTGTGACTACTGGATCCCACCTACGGAGGCACCGACTCCACCTTGCCCTGTCTGCAGCAATGGCAGTGTCCCTGTAGAGCCGTTGGACTGTCCTCCCGTAGGCAACGACTCGTCATTGGATACCATGCTCCTCCTTCCAGTCTCAGAAGGCGAGCATAACATGGCAGTCAAGTCTTTCTTTGCAGGTGCATTCGCTTCCCTTGTTGTTTGTGTGATTGTATTCAAGTTGCTGTTGCCCGCCAAAATGAAACAAAATGACTACGAACCGGTTCCCAATGGTGCCAACGGCAATGGACATTCCTACCAGAATGCCTGAACAAGGTTTAGAGCAAGCCAACAAAGATTTCAAACAGCATGCAGGTCAGGACGACTAGTAGATTTAGTCTAGCTAGCTAGCTAGAACTGGATAATACTAGCCAGACGAATCGATCCTTTTTTTACCGCTAGACCAGACTAGTACGCGGTTCCAGGTACCAGTTAGATGAGCCAATTGAGCACTACGTGTACTCAGCACTTGGTAAATTGAAAAAAGGCATCCGGGCACCCACCCATCGGAAATATATCAACTTTCCGAACAAGTAGAAGAAAATTGTGGAATTAGTTTCTTGGAATAGACCGAGAAGAAACTTTCTGTAGCAATCTAAGTAGTTTTTTAATTAAATGAAAGGCTGTTGCCTCGTGGACGCACCACGAAAACCCAGCACGTTGAATTGTGTGAATATGCAGTGGTGATGTATCGCTGCGTGTTGTCGCCTGTCCTCGTGCCGACAAAAAATCGGTCGACAGACAACAGTGCCGCCTCCTGTCCTCCTAACAATTAATTGAACTAACATTTCAGTGTGTCCCTTTGACCATGCTTTCGTCCCTCCTTTCGCCATGCACGACTGTTGATTTAGCTCGGGGCCGCTGAAGCATCAAACTCTCGATAGTAGTCTTCCAGGATCATGTCATCCAGCGGTTGTCCAGGGGCCACCAACGGTAAGCAGGGCGTGCGTTCAATCTTGACATGGAAGAGAACAGGCTCATCAATATCTTCGTAAAGGAACTCGTTCATCTTGGCCTCCAGATCTTCTTGGTGATCGCAGAAGATACTCTTGATTCCGAATGAGCCAGCCAACATGCCATAATCTGGGTTCATAGAATTCCGGACCGCCAACAAGCGGCCTCCTTGGAACAGTTTTTGCCAGTACTCGACCATCATTTGCGATTCATTGTCCAGGATCAAGAGCTTGACGGGAATTTTTTCTTCAGCGACAGTTTTGAGTTCCGTGAATGACATGTTGAAGGATCCGTCTCCGTCAACCGATACGACGCGCTTGAGCCAGTTCGCCAGCTTGGCACCAATGGAGTATCCCAAAGAGACTCCCATGGTTCCTAGCGATCCAGAAGAGATCATTTGCCTCGGTTGCGTCCAAGTGATCAACTGTGCGGCAACCATTTGGTGGATTCCAACTCCAGTCGTGAAGATGGAGTTGTCCATTTCTCCTTCTTTAGCGAGCAACTGTCTGTCCATTTCGGCAATGACGGACTGTGCGGACATGGGCGTTTTCTTCACAGTGGTGGTTCCATCTTCCGACGGTACGTCGAGAGCGGGGAACTCTGGCACTTTGACGGGGAAATCTTGCTGTAGCTGTGCTTTTCTTTGTAGCCATGCTTGTGTGGTTGGATTGATGGTGGTTTCCTTGATTTTGTCTCTGAGCGTCTGCAGGAATGCCTTTCCTGTGGAATGTACAAAATATGTGGGTGGTACCTGTTTTCCCTTTTCAGTGTATCGAATGTCTACATGAATAACTCCTCCGCGTCCTTCTTGTTCTGCCGCCTTTGCTTCTGGTGCAAAGTCGCTCATTCTTCCGGTGATTCGGTCATCGAATCTTGATCCGACGCAAAGGATGAGGTCTGATTCTTGCACGAGGTAGTTGGGTGTGGGATGTCCGTGCATTCCCATCATGTTCAAAGCGAGTGGATGTCTTTCGTCAAAGCATCCTAGGGCATGAAGGGTGGTAGTAACGGGTATCTGTAGAATCTCTGCGACTTCTTGAAGTTCCTTGGCGGCATCGTTGCAGCCTTGTCCAGCAATGATGATGGGTTTCTTGGCTCTGCCAATGAGGGTGACGAGCTGATCAAGAAGTGCTCCATCCTTGAGGGATCCTTCCTTGGTGACGATTTCTGGGTTTTGTCCGTCTCTGCCAGTGTAAACGATTTTTCCAGTGGGATGGTGGTCGGCATGGTGTGTATCGGCGGATGGATCATCAGAGATTGGGTTAGCGACGGCTTCGAGTTTGTATGGTAGTTCAAGATCATCGGAGTAGACGACATCGAAAGGTAGTCCTCTATCTTGTTTTGTGGTGAGTCCTCCCTTTTCAGCTCCCAAGAAAATGGACTGGAATAGGGTTCCATCAGGTCTTTGTCTGGGTTTCATTCTAACGAACTGATAATCGGCGGGTGTATTGGAGTGGAAGTTAGTGTCGATGAAGTCTTGTAATAGGTTTTGGTCTAGAACCTGGTTCTGCAAGTCCTTGGGCAGATCGACAAATACGGGTCCAGGTCTTCCATTTCTGGCCATGTAGAAAGCGTACTCCATGACATAAGGTATTTCAGCAGCACTCTTGATCTGGTAGCTCCACTTGGTGCAAGGTTCAGTGAGAGCGACGGCAGGAGCACTTTGGAAGGCATCTGGAGGAGCGACAGTGGCAGCTTGTCCACACAGGACAACCATGGGCACTCCATCACAGAGTCCATCTTGAAGAGGAGTGATGAGGTTTGTGACTCCAGGTCCACTAGTGGCAACGACAACTCCAACCGGCTTGTGTTTGTCTCCTTCTTTGATGGGCAGGGCCTTGGCATATCCTTCTCCAATGTATCCTGCATTTCCCTCATTAGAGTTGGTGATCCATTGAATACTGGCTGGTTTTTCCTTGGTGTGTCTTGGGTGTTTCTTGTGGAACTGATCCAACAAGGGAAGCACAGCTCCTCCAGAGTATCCATTGACCACAGTGACTCCATGCTCCACCAACTTGGAGTACACAAGGGCAGCTCCTGATTGACCTTGGTATTGACTCAAGTAGTCAGCTGCTTTTCTCCTGGCTTCCAATGTAGCAGCATTGATGTCTCCTGCTTCAATGGAAGTTGTGCGCGCGTTCTTGTCCAGCTCAGCTGCTCCCACATCTGCTCCATTCAGAGGACTGATTTCCACTCCACTCTTTACAGTGGTGCTCCACAGCTTATTAGTAGTACATGTACTAGTACTACTAGTAGTAACAGTGTGGAGAGGCACAAAGGCTGAACTACTATTAATAGCACAACAAGCCAACAACGCCAAACCAGCTACGGCTGATCCACTGATCTTCATCTTCAGTCTGTCTTTTACTTCTATAGCTTGGCCTTCTTTTTTCCAATTGTGCGCTGTTTTATGGATTTGGTTTTTATACTTTTGGTGCTCTTGGTTGTTGCTGTGTTGTACTGTATGACTACTTGTACGATCCGATGAGAATGCCGCACCAAACACAAACACATCCAATGGCTGACAAACTTCAAAACCTTTTTGATTTGACGCACCACGCGAGCGCGCAATTTTTCAAACCTGTCACCTTTAGTACGTAAGTTCACTGTCATTACTTCCTCCAATCAACCGGCACTATTCCGTACAAAACTAAAGCGCGGGTTTCGCCATGCTGCGTCATCCTTCACATCTGACTGCACCAATCAGAACACTCTTCTTCAGCTTCACTTCATCTATGCACAACTTTCAAGACCACAACAAGACCAACACCAGACAACAACTTTCAATCCAGAGTGTGACGTTATCAATTTGTCAATCCAGAGCTTTACCCCTAATTATGAGATCATCAAGGTGTGTTCGTGCTAACCAAGCTTGAAGAGTTTGACAGGCTTATCAAAATACCGGTGACAAACAAATCTTCTACATCGCCCGGAAAAGTAATGGGGACGAAAAGCAGGGAAACATCTGGAACGTTTTTATTAATTTTATTAAAGCAAAGCATGTGTGCCAGCGTGGCTACTCGTACGATGTAATCTGGATTGATGATGGAATAGAGTCCCAATTGTCATAGTAGACTAGTAGTCACAGCCATCAAAGCACCAAATCTCGAACAAACGAGAGAAAATTATTCATAGTGGTATCTTCATGACGACGATCCATGTGCTTCAAAAACAAGTCCTCCGAATCATTTGTATCACCTGTTTCTGCTTGCTCTTGTTCTCCTTCTGATGGCGAGGAAGGCAAACTAAAAGAAAGCACTGGTACATGTACTACATGTACAAGCAGTGCATACAACATCCTTCGTCGTCTCGAAACACAGCCAATGAGTGCAGTGGAATGGAACTTTGTGAGCCTCCCTTCAAATATCCAAACAATGATACAAGTACTAACTCGACAACTAGATAGCTCTGGAGGTACAACCACTGTACCGATACTGGTACAGGGAGGATTGTATCTGCTATTACTATGACATACTAGCTAGTCTAGTACTTGCTACATGCTACTGGTACCGGTAGCCCGTACGTACCAGTACGTCAGATACCGGTATCTATATGGACCAGTGACACTGTGAGTGTCATCCCGCGTCTGGGTCTTTTCGCACGAATCATGGCCTTCTTTCCAGTTTTGTATAGATAGAAGAGTACTTTGAACAAGAACACAGTGACCGCTGGTCACGGATCTCCACAAATCGTGTCAAATTCATTTTCGGAAATGGGACCAGTGATTTCAGGATCTTTGATTGCTATCTGAAGCGAAGCTTTGCTTTGTTTTGTTTTGCTTTGCTTTGCTTTGCTTTTGGTAAGATAGACTACATCTACTATTAATAGTATGCATACTGGCTGGTACCAACATCCATCATCCTCTCAGTACGTACCGTAGGCACAAAGAAGTGAAGAAAGAAGAAAGGAAGGAAAGAAAGGCTTACACTGCAAGGGCCAGAATGAATCGAGAAAGAAGTTCTTGGCTCCATCCTTCATCATAATTTTACTTTTTCAACTACGCAAGTACCGGTATCGAACTAAGCTACATAGTAGTTGAATCAAATCCACCATGGGATCATCCACTGGATCTCACCTACGCACAGCCGCCTGTTGGCTCACAGTGGCCATGACTCTATGGAGTTTGAGCTACTACTTTGCGTACGGCACCAAGGAAGGCAGCGCATGGATCATTGAAGATCTCACTGTACCCGTAAGTACACTACAAGTAACAAGTACCGGTACCTGTATCACCTCGCCGTTGGCTTGCATAACGGTACCTGACTGACTGACTGACTGACTGACACACTTACATGTACTGATAACTACATCAACAGCTGATCAGCCAATTCGACATCAGCTGGGAAAATGGAGCCCGCCTCGTCATGCTCATTGCTCCTCTACTCATCGTCACATCTATTTGCAACTTGATCGTAACAACCGCTGATCAGCCTTCCCACATGCAAAGATCCATCAACGCTATCTTTGTTCGTCTCCGCGGATTCTCGGGAATGGCAGGCGATGGACTCAACAAGAGAAACCAGTTTGCATTGGGAGAAGTCAACTTTGACTGGATGGCATTCTTCCTTGTCACTATGCCTGTATTCTGGTTCTTTGTATTCACGCTCGATCAGGTTCTAGACGGAAGACAACTCACTCAAGAACTACGTCTCAAGGCCATTGGAAATGCATTCGGAATGGCTGGGACACTTGCACTCAGCTTCTTCCTCATACCTGTCGCTAGGCACAGTGTACTCTTGGTCGCGATGGGATGGAGTCCTCTGCAAGCCCTAAGATTCCACATATGGGCAGGATACACATCCTTTGCATGCATTGCCTTGCACGGGATCATACACTTTATTGTATGGACACGCAACCAGGAACTCAACGTATGGGAACAGATATGGCCTGCTTCAAACTGCTGGGAATGGAACGCAGAGACCAAAGCCGTGCCAAAAGGATGCCGAAGCCAATGGTACAACTTGACAGGAGTCATTGCCGCATTCTTTATGCTCGTGCTTATACTCACAAGTATCAACTGGTTTAGACGCCGATACTACCGAATATTCTACATATGTCACGTCATTTGTGCCATAGGAATGATCGCTGGGGCGGCCATGCACTGGAGACCCATCATCACATTCCTCGCTCCAAGCATCATTTACTATTTGGCATCGACCATGCCTGCCCTGGTACAAGCAGTGGCTAGCAGAGCCCGGGGCGGAGTTCGACTTGTCAAAGTGGTACATTTGAAAGATGCTGGGGGATGCAAAGAGATACACGTCTCCACTACACATTCCGCCAATGTCGCCCTTGACAACACGCCCTCCATGTTCGTCAAGATGTGTGTCCCCGGCATCTCCATGATTTGGCATCCCTTCACTGTCTTCAAACACCCACGGGATCCTTCTACTGTGAGGATCCTATTTCGACCCGTTGGCACGTTCACCAAGCAACTGGCATCACGATATGAAGAGCAAGGAAAGAATACTCCCACTGTTCTGGATGGTTTCTACCACGCTGGCAACAGAACCTTGGAAGCACTGCATCATGATCATGTCACATTCTATTGTGGGGGAGTGGCCATCACCCCTTTCCTAAGTTTGATCCCACACCTCATTGCCGAGATTGCACAGCGAAAGCTACAAGGTCTGCCCATCTTGACCCGCAAGTTGGTCTTTTACTGGGCCTGTCGCGAAGAAGGCCTTGCCTCCTATATCACGGAAAACTACTTGAAGGGAATGAAACGAGCTGCCAATGCGATTGACTTTGAGTTCGATTGCGTCGTCTATCACACCAAGAGGAAGGTCAAGTCCAAACCGAGTCCTTTGGATCCGTCAAGCAAAGACTTTACGGAAGATTCGAATGTCTTGGATACAACCTTCATGAGTGATTTGACCATGGATGATATGAGAAGAAAGGAAGGGCTACCAGTAGACTGGCACTCTAGGCGTTCTGTGACAGAGTACGATGACGATGGTTTGCCCAGAAAGATCTTGAGGGAAGTCGACGTGGATGAGATGCCAAACAGTCGCCATGACTTGGTTGCTGATGAAGCGAGTGTACAGCCAGTTGTGGAAGTGACGGAATATGCGAGCAAGAGCACCGACACGCACGCAATGGAGCTGCACCGTTTCATGCCCGCTCGGCATGCTACGGTGTGGCGCAATGTGTATGCCTTCCTGGTAGTTGGTGGCTCTTTGTGGCTCTTCTTCTACATCATCTTCTACTATTACAATGGCTACGAGATCACCGTTCATGAATTCTATGATCGACTGTGGCCTCTGATCCTTTGTTTGATGGCATCAATTGTTCTGGCACTTGTCTTTGAAGGTGTTTCACTTGCGTCTTGCTTCCTCGGTAACGTGAATGCAAATGAGGACAGCCGGGCAGAATCCTCGGATTCGCACGCTTACTTGCCAGTGGACGAGGAACACTCGGATGATGTTTTGATTGAGCACCGTGGTGGTCGTCCTGACATTCGCGATATCTTTGCAGATCCTCAGAGAGCTGAGTGTCCTGGAATCTTCATGTGTGGCCCTCCTGCAATGACAGAGAAGGTTCGGGCTGAGGCTAACAAGGAGAATTCAATCTTTGGACTTACGCGCTACGCTTTATACGAAGACCCCTTTGAGATGTAGTGAGCGAGGTGGACGCAAGCCTGGAGGCTGTATAGGAGCAGTCCAGGTGGTTGAAGATCAAGTAAGTTAGTCATTAGCTAGAGATTAGGCAGCAACCTGGCTAGCCTCCAGTAGCTGTAGTGCACACTAAAAGAGAATGGATAAAACAGATAAGTTCTTGGCCCACGTGTACTAGTACTTTCCAGGTCGAACCTCTCGGTGGATGGACGGAGGCAGGGTTACAGATAGCGGAACGGCCCACACTCTTCAAAATAAACTACATACATGTACCGGTACCGGTACGTGTACTAATACCCGACCGCAGCTCCGCAGCTCTATTCTTCGCTCGCTGGACGTTGGATGCACCGTAGCATACAAGTACACAGATGGCAGCTTTGCTGTCTGGTTCAGGCTTCATACATACAGTACAGTAGGCGACAAGAGTATCGTTTTGCCTCTATGTTACTAAACGTGTTACTAACACCTACCCCATATTCCCCTAGATCACGGACCGGGACAGGCCCTGTGACCTGTGACTGCCGTTTTCCCTGGTGGAAACTCCATACCGGTATCATGGGGGTGGGGGCGTTTCTCCTGTCATGTTACAGCTGTAACGCTGTAACATTCCGGTCTTTATTTTATATAATTTTATTAACAAAGGCATCGAGAAGGCAAGATTCAAATTTGAGGTGATTTAAGCTTTGGAACGGAGATTTACATTGACAATTCACCAATGACCTCTCTCAAGCTTCACGTTTAATGCTTTTGAGTTCTTGAGACTTTTTTAGTCTCTCTGGGGCGAATCTTCTCAAGATGTCCCAGTGCATTGCTTCTTTTGGCTTTTGGCAACCGACTTTTGATCACTTTTCTGCAGATTTTGGGTTTTCTCTCTGACCCACTGGCACAGTACGGGTACCGGTATTCTAGCTGCTGGTAGCTGCTATCTACTAGCTAGTAGTACTAGATCTAGCTACATGTAGTAGCTTTAGTTCCAGCCAGCCAGCTGAGCAAGATCGAAAGTATAGGTCATTATTGCAACACTCCAATCCTGTCCTGTCCTGCCAGCCCAATGCTCCGGTGCCATAAAACTACTAGAGCTAGTAGTAGCTTCGAAAAACTCTGCAGCTCATTTCTCGCTCCGAGCATAAAAGATCAAAGCAATGACAAACTTGAGCATTCCACCGTCAAGCCAACTTGAAAGCGGCTCCTCGCGATCGGCTGCTGGAGGCGATGCCATTGTACGTGTACATACAGAAGACTCGTGTTTCGAAGAAGAAGAGGAGGACGAAGAAGAGGCGTCTTTAACGTCGCCCAGTGACACGGCTCAAAACGACAAACAAAGTACCCAGAAGTACACCAGGCGAATCAAGGCATCCAAGATCCTCGTCTTTTTGATTCTGGCAATGGCTGTCATTGTTGCCTCCATTCTGGCTAGAACGTCCAGGCTGAAGGCTGCAAACGCTGAAACAAAGGTAAGCACTCATAGCTAGCTGGCTGGCTAGCTAGTAGCTAGATAGCTAGTAGCTATCTAGTAGCTAGATAGCTAGTATACAGTCTTCCAACTTTTCCTCATTCAATCTATCTATGTATATGCATACCCCAGTTTGTGGACTTTGCGCAAGATGTCATCATGGTAAGATTGCATTACATGTAAAGCATTCTCCTGTGTCCAGCTACATGTACATGTACAATGACATGTATGTGTGCATCTGCGTGACTGACACAGCATAATATGCATTGCCATTCTTACAGTTGTCTACAAGCAGGATCAATACGACAGCAGCCGCTCTCAAGACTTTCAGCAACTCTGTCACGTCCTTGGCTATCTACGGACAGGCACAATGGCCATTCGTGACCTTGCCTGACTTTGCCGTCCGCAGCAAAGACTTTACAGAAGCAACGCAGGCGGATGCTATTTCCTTGGCTCCTTTTGTAGCCAGTCAACACAAGCTACAATGGGAGGCATATGCAAAGCAGGCATTCCCCAATCAACAACACATATGGAGAGAATCGTACCGCGTGGGGAAACCACCACGAAATGATTTGACCGGTGGTCCCTTTCTCCCGGTGTGGCAAACACAAACATCACATTCTCAAACTCAGGTTGCTAACACCACCGCTCTAGTCAACTTCAACTTACTCAGCGACACTACAATCCAAAAGGCCATTGACGTCTCCCTGGAAACACATATGGCTGCTCTTTCTGGCCTCCTCGACTATGACGCTGTCTTCGGGGGTACCGGTACCGGTACCGGTACCCATGCTCAAAACGGGTCGGCACATTCCATGATGTCCACCAGGAGCATCCTTGCCTATCCCATCCATCGCAACTTTGAAGCTAACTCTACTGTCGTGGCATTCTTGATGGCTGTGCTCCCGTGGGAAGTTTTACTTCGCCCAGAAGCACGCAAGCATTATCATGCGACTGCCACAGCGGTGCTGATGCACCAATGCTCTGGCACGGAACCGCAAGCTGTCACATTCGCTCTCAACGGCGATCAGGTCAAGACATTGGGACCTGGAGACTTGCACGATGAGCGATTCAGTCATCACCAAGTTTCGTCAGTAATCAGCCTCCCGGAAGCCAACTGTCGACATTCTATTCATCTCTATCCATCCTCATCCACAGACATCAAGTCCGCCGACCATTCGTTGACCTCCACTTCCGTGATCCTACTCCTTCTCTTGCTTATGGCCATAGGTGCTTTCATAACATACGACGCATTTGTGCAACGCCGAAACCGCCAAGTTGTACAGGTGGCGAGCCAAACAAGCAAGATCATCAGCAGTCTCTTTCCAAAGACTGTACACGATCGATTATTCCAAGCTGACGAGTCCAACCTATCGCATTCCACTCGCCGCAGAAGAGGAAGAAGACGACAGAGCTTCCAAAACAAGTACCAACCCGCCAAGAAAAACTTGGCACACTTTTTGTCCGATGAATCCAAAACTTCTCAAACATCAGGAGAAACCAACATTGAAAATGGAGAGCAGGCGAAATCAAAGCCGATCGCAGATCTCTTCCCCGAAACTGTAAGGATGGCCTCGTGCACCTTCGTTCTGATGATCGACTCTCACATGGTCTCGTCAAACGTTTCCCCTCCATAATATATAGACGGTGATGTTCTGTGACATTGCAGGTGAGGCAAAGATCGAGTCTGACACGTACGCCACTGGCTCGAACCAATCACAGAGGTTTTCTAACGTTTTTCGTGTCAATTGCTTTCATATTCACAATCAGGCTTCACGGCTTGGAGCAGCAGTCGCGAGGCATGCGACGTGTTCGTCCTTCTCGAGACGGTGAGTTGTGGCAGCGCGATCATGGCTTGCGGTCCGCAAAGGTTCGAGAATACATGATGCCTAGACCTGAACTCACGTTTGTACTATTCATCTATATATGCAGGTGTACAATGCTTTCGGTGAGTATACTTACTTGTCGACACCCCGGTTGCCTCTTCGTTCATCCTGGACGGCCTCGGTCCTCAAAACTCTCTCGATCGTTCGTACCGGTATGTGTGTCTGCAGATCAAATCGCAAAGAGGAGAAAGGTATTCAAAGGTACGGCTGCACCTTTCCTTGGCCGTCGCTGCGAATTTGTCCTTCGGCTGGCCTCTGAAACGCGTCATTGTCGACCTGTGCTGTTCAGTTGAGACAATCGGCGATTGCTACCTTGCGGTAAGTTTGGCTCTCGTTTCCTTCCCGCCAGGGTGCCTTTGAAACACTCATCATCGCCAATTTGCAATCCATCACCGTCGTCTATTGGAATTGAATGAAAGGTTGCTGGTCTTCCAAGTGAGTTGGCTGCTGGACCGAGTCGGCTTCATCGCTTTGTTGTGTGATCCTCACCGTCTTCTTTCTCTGCGTGCATCTTCATCAGCGCCACGCAAAGACCATGCAGTCGTTATGGTTCGGTGAGCACGAAGAAACAGTAGCGGCCCTTGGCAGATCAGATCGCGTCATATTCGTTACTTTCGGGTGCTCACCCTTTGCCTTTGTCTCTTTTGAAAGGTTTGCTTCTGATTGCCTCGTAGAGTTCAACTGCTTATCGAAAGGTAATGTCTGGTCCATAAAAGAGGAACAAATCCACATCTGTTTGAGCCACCGACTTGGCACTCATCGGTGAATCTCTGAACGAATACCATCACAACATAGATTTGGAGTTGAAACTGGGTCCAGGGACCAGCGACTTGGCAATGAGATTCGGATTGCACAGGTGAGTATCCTTCGCTGCCGTAGCTTCATAGCCGCTTCCCAAGCCCCCAAAGCAACCATTCGCTCATACACCTCTGTTGTCACTCTTCTTGCTGAAATAGTGGACCAACTACAGCCGGCGTTCTCAGGGCAAGTCCAGCCTAACTCGAAAATCAGTAGCATTGAATCGAACCATTGCTTTTGTTGCTAACACTGGCTCTACGGCATTTCACATCCTATCCTGCAGGGCGAGAAAACGCGGTGAGTCATACACGAGGAACGACGATTGCAATTGCCTACTCTTCGTCACAGCTGACCCCTCAATCTTTTGATTCACCCAGCTTCCAGTTGTTCGGTGACACAGGTATGGTTGTAGCACGGTACCGCGGCTTTCTCTGATCCAATCTACCTCATTCTCACCTGCATCTGCACTCCTTTGCTGCGTACAAAGTGAACACCGCAAGTCGGATGGAAAGTACAGGAGAAAGAGAAAAGATTCAAGTTTCGACGACCACTGCAAACTTGCTTGCTGAGGCCAGAAAGTCCCATTGGTGTGAACAAAGGAAGGACCCAGTGGTGGCAAAGGGGAAAGGTATCAGTAGTCGGATCGCTCATCACGTCGTTTGGCTTTGTCGAATTTCAGCGCTGACTGTTTGGCTGTTTGACGCCCTAAAAAACAGGGGAGATGATCACTTACTGGGTAAATCCGAAAACAAGCTTGGCTGGCCACCAGCCATCGTACTCTGAGTGTAGTGGAGAAGAATCGAGGCAAGAATCTCCTGATACCGGCAACTCGACAGTTCCTAAGGGTGCAGAAAAAGCATCTCTGGGCCCAAGTAGCCACGAATCAGTGTGCGCTCCACCAGAATTACCGGAAGACCACGTAGATCCCAAGCTTCAGAGGTCCATCACATGGATCAGTGGAGTCCTTCTCGGACTGTTGCGCCAGGTAAGACCACTTGCATAGGGCTTTTGGAACTTCTGCTTGCGTCCACAGCAAACTCACTTCAATGCAAATTTTGTCAATGACACGCCCCGAGAGCAGATAGTTGCTCGCCGTTTGGCCATGGGGAAAAAATCCGTGGGACAGACCCAGGCTACACGACGAGCCAGAATGGCTATGCAACCCGAACCAGGACTACTCCCCCTGGACGAATTGGAAGACATCATCAACGTTCCCAAGTTCAACCCCAAGGCGGCCAAGAATGTTGTGGACCCAGAAAGCGTTGAACTCCCTTGCGAAGTCATTGACCAAATGCATAGTTTTGTTACTGTTGTGGCGTTGATGTACAGATCCCAACCCTTCCACAATTGGTTTCATGCCGCCCACGTAACCCAATCGGTTAGCAAGCTTCTGGCGCGCATCGTCGCCCCTGACGACATGGAAGCAGAAGATCTTGACCGTCATTCGAAGCGTCGTGCTTTCCACTCAAAACTGCATGATTGGTCTTTTGGACTTTCGAGCGATCCTTTAATACAATTCACTATTATTTTCGCGGCAATGATTCACGATGCTGGTAAGTACCGGTAGCACCCTCTTGCTCTCATGGTAATGTGTGGACTCGCGTTTGCGTCGATTCGACTCTTACACTGAATTTGCCCCCGAACCACCGTTGCACACCAAAGACCATCCTGGTGAGAAATCGAGTTCATCATTTGCGTATCGCACGACGTGATAGCTTTGTACTCACTATTAGTGCTCGTCGATCTGTAATAGGTGTCCCCAATTCGGCTCTTGTCAAGTCCCGCTCTCCCATGGCCGAGCACTTTCGTAACCAGAGCATTGCAGAACAGGTACGATCCATTCAAAACTGACAACGACAAAGGAAGTTGCCGGTTGTTCTGATGGCCTTGTGTTTGCACTTTGTTATATATATAAAAAGAACTCATTGGAGATAACGTGGGACCTTCTCATGGATGATGCTTATGCGGATCTTTGTGCATGCATTTTTACCAACGAAGGCGAGCTCCACAGATTCCGAAGTCTTTTGGTGAATGCTGTTCTGGCGACAGATATTCAGGACGCCGAACTGAACAGGCAACGAAAGGCTCGGTGGGACAAGGCTTTCCACTCGTCGTCTGTGTCAGCAGCCCCAACCCCTGGCGTGGCCGAGTTTGTGTCGGTGGCTGACGATCAAAACAGAAAGGCAACGATAGTTTTGGAGCACATGATTCAAGCTTCGGATGTTGCCCATACGGTGCGTAGTAAGCTTTGCGTGATCACGAGCATGCATGGTCAAGGCAGCCAGATGCAGATAGTATGCTAACGTCGTTTTGCCGTCCCCCGCTCTACGTAATGTATCCAGATGCAACACTGGCAAGTCTACTTGGATTTCAACGAGAAATTGTTTCACGAGATGACCGAAGCGTACAAGAATGGGCACTTGTCGCAAGACCCTGCCAAGGGATGGTACAAAGGCGAACTGGGCTTCTTTGACCACTATATCATCCCTTTGGCGAACAAACTATCGGATTGTGGTGTCTTTGGAGTTTCCAGTGCCGAGTTTCTTTGTTATGCTTTGGACAATCGATCTGAATGGGAGCGGCAGGGAAGATCGATTGTGGATGGCTATGTTCGCAAGTATGGCATGAGCGCGAGCCCTAATAGCTCGTGTGGACTTGTCGAACACGGAGACGATGGTAGTTGTTGGCGCGACGAGGTTGGTAATGGCGTGGACGGACGTGTCTCGTCGTTGGCTTGGAGTGACGAGAAAATGGGAGCTTGCCGAGATTTGGAGCGAGGCCTTATCGGTACCGATACGAGCCATAGCATCAAGGAATGCAGTACTCGCGCCGTGGATCGCGGTTTTCAGTTTACGAATGCCATTGGCGACTATGCATATGCACATGCACATGTGGATGAGAGGAGCAGAACGAGCAACAACGGAAGCGTTCGCAGCATCTTTGGTGAAAGCGATCACAATGATGGTGGTGCCTGTTTCGGCTCAAGTTCCGCGCCAGGCATCTCTACCGGTAGCAGGCATGGCTATGAGCGTGTGAGGGCGAGGACCAATGATCTGGATGTGAACCTTCGATCTTCTACATGTACCGGTACTGGCGGCGGTAGCATGGGAGCGTACACTCCGCCTCTCTCCTATTCTTCCTAACTAAGAGTAACACGTCGTACTACGGTATTGTGCCTGCATGTACTAGCTACCGGTAGCTACCACTCGTAGCTAGCTATAACATTTCAAGAGCTGTGGGTTGCTTCGATCTGTTCGAACTCGATTGCTTGTGCTCCAAATCTCTTCGTTGTCCCGTCATTGGTGAAGGTGGGAGTTACAGCCGGACGAAGGCCAGACAGAAGACAGTGGACGGAGGAAAGATCCAAATGCCAATGAGCCATTGAGCCAATGACCACTGTTTCATCACGCAGAGATCTTCCATTGGTTTCTTCCTTTGGGTACTAATAGAGCACAACTTGAAGAGCAAGGTAGTAGCAACCCAGCTCCACAGCATAGCAATCAAGCAACGAGCTAGCTAGCTAGCCAAAGACAGAAGACAGAAGACAGAAGAGCAGTTGATCAGATCAGTTGATCAGATCAAAAGAAGAAGAAGAAAGAAGAAGGTGTAAAAAGAGGGGAGGAGTGAAGTTGGTGTAAAAAGGAATTGAATTCAGAATGAGTGGATCATCAGGATCAGGATCAGGATCAGGACCAGGACCTCGCCGGTGGATGTCCAACCTGGACATGTACAAGAAAGTTCCATCTGATTTGATGGAAGGCACAGCGCAAGGCAGTTTCTTCAGCTATTTGATCTTGTTTGTCATTTTCAGTTTGGTCTACTTGGAGACTAAGAGCTTCATGTCCTATCAAGTAGTGGAGGAATTGGCATTGGACACTCAACACCTGCACCGAAAAAAAAGCATCTTTGGAGGAAACAAGTTCCAATCCATTGACACACTAAACAGCCAAAAAACACAAAAAATTCAAGTCAGGTTCAATATTACTGTAAGTGCATGACAATGACAATATCAATGACAATGACAATGACATGTCTTGTCTTCAATTGTAAGTCACTCATTTATATTTTATTCTTATTTTTTAATTTAAATCTATTTGCTTTTGTTCAAAGATGATGGACTTGAAATGTGAATTCGCTACTATCGATGTCGTCTCGGTTCTGGGGGCTCAACAAAATGTCACAAAAAATCTACAAAAATGGATGGTTTCACCAGAAGGAGTCCAAGAAAGATACGACAAAAATAGAAACCTACAACAACACGACCTCGAACAGGGAACACTTGAACTACACGACAAAACTGTCACCAAATCCATACAAGAACTACACAAAAATGGAGAAGATGCTGTCAATCTAGATGAGCAAGCTCTACAAACTGCTCTCAAGGAATACCCATTTGTATTCGTCGACTTCTTTGCTAATTGGTGCAGCCACTGCAAAATATTTGCTCCCACTTGGGAAAGACTCGCCGAACTCATGATCGATGCAAAAACACACCATCATGAAAGAGTCGTCGCAGAAATGGAACAAAAACAAATGGAAGAAAAAAGGCTACAACTCGCAAAACAAGCTGCTGCTACCGGAGAAACCATAAACCTCGTCCAAAATCTTACATACAGTGAAGAAGAATACCAACAAGCACTACAAGCTGTCAGGTCTCCTCTATTGGTCGGAAAAATTGATTGCGTCACTAAACACCAACTATGCAGAAAACAAGGAATCATGAGTTATCCCACCATCAGACTCTTTGTCAATGGAGAATTATTCCAAGACTTCTTTGGAAGCAGAACTGTTGCCAACCTACTACAGTTCCTGGTATTGGCCGAAGAAAAGGTACTCGGCAAGCAGCCAGACAACGAAAACGATCGACAACTCACCCTTTCCGACCATGCCGCTGTGGCGCTGGATGCCCATAATGTCACTGATGAACAAAAGGCAGCTGCTATTGCTGCAGAAAGACAGAGATCTCAAATTTGGAAACCATCCGAACACCCTGGCTGCCAAATTGCCGGGACGCTCTTCCTCAACAAAGTACCCGGCAATTTCTACATACAAGCACAGAGCCCCACTCATTCCTTGGAACCTACTCTCACAAACGTCTCACACGAAGTACACCACCTGTATTTTGTCACGCAAAGACCGCCTGGGGTCAAACCTCCCAAGAGCCCTGAAAAAGACCTCGACGAATCACAGAGAGCTCAAGATGGAACCATCATGGTCCCTCCACCTAGCGACTCCAGTGTCTCCGGCCTCAGCCACCCCATGAATGGAAATGTGTATGTCACTCATGGATATCATCAAGCTCACCATCACTACATCAAGCTCGTCGCCACAAACCTATACACATACCAAGTGGTACAAAACAGCCAAATGGTACACTACAACATTGACCAAGTCCCAGAGGCAAAGTTCGTTCTGGATCTGAGTCCTATTGCCGTCACGTACCATGCTACAAAGAGACATTGGTACGACTACATAACATCTATCATGGCTATTGTGGGAGGAACCTTTACAGTGGTTGGGATTGTGGATGGACTCCTTCGGACTGCCGTGAAGACTACACAAAAGGTAGTGCTGCGGAGACGACGAAATGGAACCAAAGCGAGGCAGCAGCAGAATAGGAGCCTTCCCAGACCACCACCGCAACCAACCAGAGAAGCGTTTCAGCATTCGAGCATTGCCGCTGCCGACCCAGCTTCGCGTCCAATAGCGGTGCAACGGCCCAATGCTGCCGTTTCTGCTGCACCCGCGGCATTGGCATCACCAGATGGGGTCTCTACTAGACCCAACAGCAACAACAACTCCACGACAACGGCCACTTCACGCAAGTCAAGGACAGCGCTGCCTCGGCCGCCGGGGAGGTAGGTAGGTAGGTTATCGGTTTCGTACATGTAGGTAGGGGCTTTGGCACTCACAGGACGAGCTAAACTAGACTAGACTAGACTAGACTAGCTAGATAGGTTTTTAAAAAGAGAGCATACCTTTTCTGCAGATCAAAACGCTTACTCTAGCTAGACTGGAATTAGTCTTATGCAGACACAATGACATTTATTGGAGTTTGATTTACGACGTACTACCAGTGCCGTACCGGTACATGTACGGTATTACAGTAGTCTTACTTTGGCAGAGCATGGATATCCATTTTGGGCGCCATTTTGGTCCACTTAGTTTCCTTGCCATTGTAAGTAAGGTGCAATGTTCCACTTCGAATTTTGGCTTGAGTGATTGCATGATTGTTCTTAATCTTGTAGTCATCATCATGAAATTTGATTTCTCCAGCCTTTCTGTTGACGAATGTTCCTCCCTGTATGGCCCACCATTCGACTCCATCATCAGTTCCAATGACAGCAATTTGATCAGCAATGAACTTTCCAATTCTATCTGAGACTAGTCTAATGCCAGCAAAGTTTGTGCCGGGTTTGTAAATGTCGGTATCGACGTAAAGTCCGTTGACATCATTGAAAGCGGGATGTTTTGTCAGTGTCTGCAGGTCAAAGTCTTGCGTGGGAGTGAGTCTGGCCCATGTGTTTCCAATGGTGGTGCCGTCTTCCTCGTAAAAGTGCAGACTGCCAGTACTACTAGTAGATTCAAAGGCACACTGTAGCAATCCCACGCCTGGGGCCTTTGGTGTAAAGTCCATGGTGACTTTTGGTGGCGACGCTTTCAAGTCGTTGAAAGTTCCAGTCAATGTCCACCAGTGGATGCCATCGTCGCATCCAATGCAGACAAAGTCCGTACCGGTACTACTAGTAGTAGATGCGGGATCCGTTCTTCCCAGAACACGAATTCCTCCGAACCAAGGATCTTTCAAATCGTAGAGGTTGGCACTGGCTTTCGTGGGAGCATGATTCGGGTCAGTGTACACACCGCCTACGTTGGGGATTTCAACACCAGCCATGATAGACTAGAGTAGACAGACTAGACTAGCTAGACTAGACTACTAGTATTATGAACTAGATCTGGTATGCTGTATCTTTTTAGAAGTCTTGTTGGACTGTCACGGCGGTTCTATTGAAGGTGTCGATTTGGATTTGTCAGATCAAAGATTAGATCTTTGGTCTGCAGGTTTAGGAATAGGGCTTTTCTCTTGTGTTGGTTGTGGTACAGTATCGGTACTTCCAAACAACTCTACTAGAGCTAGCTACCAGTAGCTAGCTAGTCTAGTAGTAGGTCGTGGAGTTGCAACATTGTACTACCTGTAGCTACTAGATCTACTGGTACTTTTAAAATACTACACTAGTAGTACAGTAGAATATTGATAAAAAGATTGTACTCATGTAGTCTAAGGAGCATGAATAATGAAGGCATTGCAATTGGTTGAGTTTCAAGTTGTTTGAGTCTATTGGTTGGGTGACTGTGCTGCCTCCAATTCCCATAGAACCTGATCAATGATTTTCCCTACTGTTTCCACATTGGACTTTGTTCTCCTGACAGCTGCTTGTCTGCTGTTTCTGTTTGCATTCAAGTTCAAGTTGGACATGAAGATGGAGTGTCTAGTACTAGTACCGGTACCAGTACCAGCACCAGTAGTAGGCTGAGTGACAACAGTCTGAGGTTTTTGGTGGTGTTGCTGCTGCTGCTGTTCTTCTTCCTGTTGGAAACTAGTTTGTCTGGTAGGCAATTTGAACTTGGAGTCTCTTTTCTTGTGATCTGATTCTTGAAAGCCAGGTCTGGAGGACAGCTTGCTCTTTCTGTTACAACTATTAATAGCACCAGTACCACCTGTAGCACTATCCCTACCAGTACCAGTACCAGTACTACGCCCACCTGAACTGCTGGAAGTGGAACTCCACCGATCTGGAGACAAGGGGGCTTCATGCTTGTGATCAGGCATGACAAGGTGCTGCTGCACGTTATGCAAGGGAGCACTCAGTGATCTCCGCATGCGCAACTTCATGTTCTTCTTCTCGCGGTGAAATCGCTTCTTGTGTAACTGAGGCACACAAATCAGTGGCATTGCTCCTCCTGCACTACCAGTACTACCTACACCTACACCTACACCTACACCTACGCTACTATGCATACCAGTACCCATACCAGCCTTTAGAGTCTTCATGCCCATGCTGTTGCTGTTGCTCTTGTTGCTCTTGTTGTTACTCGTACTCGAACTCGAAACCATTGTTGTCTGTTGAGGAAGCATCATTCAGTGTGTGGTACTTCTATTCTGCGGAGGCGATGATGGTTGAAGGTTATCAATCAACAATCTATCAATCAATGCGATCTGCTCTGACTCGACTCACACTCACAGGTCACTCCACTCACACTCCACTCCAACCTCAAAACGACCACTGTGCATTGCTTAATTAATTAAAGGTTCCTGCTTTTTTGCCTTGTTTCACTCTTTCGCCCGCCTAACGTGGATTCTTTTTCACTTTAAAGCACAGTGACGTGGCTCGTTTAAAGGGCCTGCTCTCAAACGATTTATGCCCCAGAACAATAGGAACCCAATTATTTCAACTCAGTCACACTTACTGCTCACGTTATCTCCTCCATCCACCATCCTCCATCCTCGAGTACGACTGTACTCTGTACTACTAGACCTAGTCTAGCTAATATTATTTAAAATAGTCTACTATGATCCATGATCCAAGTACTCATGTACTAGCTAGCTAGCTAGTACATAACATACATGTACTCCAGTATCCACTTACTACTTACTACCAGTTCATTCGTCAAGCTTCGGGTCAATGGGCAATTCGGAACAGTATCAATCTTTCATACTCAGTAAGTAAAGTAAAGACGCTGTAACAAACGAATTCAGAACGCTTACATGAGGTCAAGCGTCAATGCGTGAACCTCTTAATTGTTTCCATGCACTAGGTTACGGAGTACAAGTGCTCCTGTACTCGATTCAACCACCAAGAACAAGAGGTTGATCCAAGCGGGATTGGACATCCCTTCCTTTTTCTCCGATCGATTCGATTCGATTCTTCTCGAACTGACCTCAGTTCTTGAGTCGAGTATGTCAAGTGGGACTCGACTCGATTGATTGCGGATTGGATGGCTCAAAGAAATAAAATTCGTTGTTCATCCGAATTTTCTATCGACTGTTCGAATATTGCGACCTTTGTGCACCGGTGGGTTCCAATTTTGCCAATTGCAATTACTCTAGCTAGCTAGTAGCTAGCTAGTACTGTACTAGCTAGCTAGTAGTACCAGTATTGGTAAGCGATGACCAATGGAATTGGTGGGCAAAGTGGCGGCCTCTTCATGAACTCGCTAGCTACGGTATGTCATACTTGTACTTGTGCATAATATATATCTCAACGTTGGCTGGGCAGAAATTCTTGGCCGTGAACAGCTCTGTGAACTGACTAGTCTAGCTAGCTGGCTGGCTGAAATCTAAAAGTTTGGTTCTGACCTTGACTGACGTTCTTTTATTGGAGTACATTTATGTTATGTGGGAGGCAACAACTCAAGAAAGCAGATGATCCAAAGATCGTGTCTCGAGGCAGCCAGCAGCCAGCGACCTCCAGTTCCCGGCAGTACCCATGTACAAGCATGCGAAATACCAGTACAGCGTACCATGTGCAAACCCCAGCTGGCTGGCCATTATTGCATGCAGCCAGTCAGACAGTTGTGTGGATAACAGAAAACAATAGCCAACAACTGGGGCGCTTCAAGGCTTCAACTACATGTATCAATACTGTAGATACCGGTACATGTACGTCTGTTGCTGGTCAGAGGACACAAGTTTGACGATGGGAGGGATGAGAGAGAAAGACCTTCGGAGAAACTTTACTTTTCTATCTAGCTTTGCATACACCGTAGTGCTAGCTAGCTAGAGTCTAGCTAGATCTTCTTTCAAAATAGACTGTACGATGTACGACAGTACTGTACCTCTTTTCAGTACCGGCAGTTTGCTCGTTAGCTCTCTTTAGAAGCCCTCATATCCACATTAGCATTGCAGAACAGGGAATGCGTGTCGCGAATGCCTTTGGAACAACCAGTGACGAGCCATGTCCAGGGAATTCTGCAGGGAACGTCAGTGAAGGCTTATTTGTTTTTGTTGCACACTTTTGTGTTAGTTAACTCTTTGTCTGCTCTGTGGTTCTGGCGGGTTCCCCTTGCGACCACCAAGCACCAAGCAAAGTACAGTATGATACACCGGAACACCGGAACCGACCAGCCACATCATCCATCGTGTAGGTCTATCTCCAGTCTGCAGCAAAGCCTATATCGATTGGTTCATTGCTTCATTCTTTCTTTGCTATTGCTGTTTGTAGGTACTAGCTAGCTACCGGTACTAGTAGTAGTAGTAGTAGTAGTTGCATTGCGAGCCTCCTGTGTTGACAGCTGTAATGAAGACTGACACTCCTTTGGTAGTCCCACGACGGCGTGTGGATGAAGATGGCATTGTGCAAGATGTGGCAGTGGCAGAGTCACAGTCACGATGTCGTCGTTCTTTGTCTCCAAAGCGGCGTGGACGAAGGACTCTTGCTTCTCCGATGCGATCCTCTTCGTCTCATCATCATCGATTGCAGCATGATGTGATCGTGCGCCAGCCATCTAAAAGAAGACTCCTCATGTTGGAGCGCGCCAATTCCGCGCCAAACTTGTTCCAACAGAAAAACAACGCCAGGAGACCCAAAAGGACAAGCAAGACAAAGGGCAGCAACATCAACAGCAGCAGAAGACGGCGCACTCCCAAGAAATCAGTCAGTGCCAAATGCCACAGCAGAGACAACAGCCTGCACAATGCCAGACAACCAAGAAGAAACTCTAATGCAAACTCTAATGCAAATGAAAATAGTCTGGGCAGATGGGAACATCCTCAAGGAGTGGAAAGGAGACTCAGCAACACAAGCAATGCTTCCAGGCCTGACAGATCCATTGACAGATCCTCTGACAGATCCATTGACAGATCCAACAGTACCTGCAGTATTGACTCTTTGCCTCAAAAACCAAAAAGAAATCAGTCTCCTGAACCCATACACCACAAAGACAAACAAAATCACAATTGCAAACAACCCATCAGAACACCAGATCAGGATCATGACGATGATGACGATGACAGCACTGAGGAATATGATGATGATGATGATGATGACGACGAAAACTCATTTGCTCTAGACAACAATAATCAAAAGCAAGAGCAAAAAGAAAAAGAAAAGCAAAACAAACCTGCAGCTACCAGAACTACCAAAAACACAGAAAAGAAAATCGATATCAAGCTACTTGGATACACGGACTTGGAAGAAATTGATGACAACCAAGACTTATTCCTACCACCACCACCACCACCACAAGACAAACAAAACAAAATGAATCACAGACTCTCAATAGGATCTACCATGTCCACCAAATCAAACAGATCCGCAAACACATTCGCACCAACTGCATCTTCACTTTTCCAATCCAGAAGAGAATCCATGGGAAACAGAAACCTACCTGTCAGGGCATCCTCCTTCTTGGACACTTATGCAAGACCAAACAGCAACAGCAACAGCAACAACCACAAACATTTTGCAAACAGAAGAAGAAACAGATCCATGGACATGACACTCAACTTGGTCACAGGAACAAGCCCCATGCACATGCACATGCAATTCAACAGATCCAGTACACACAGCAGAAACAGCAGAAACAGTAGAAGACCTTCTGCTGCTACGGGTACAGGCGCAACAACAACAACAACAAACAGACAACAAATGCAATCCTTCTCAAGCGTCGTCCTAGGAGGAAGAAACTCAAAATCTTTCAGATTGCAACGCCCCAGCAACTCCAATGAGGATGCGGCGAGGAGACGACAACAGCAGAGACGATGTAGATCCATGGACATGACTCCATCCGTCGTAAAGAGGGCACCTTCACCTCCTCCTTTGCCAAAACGACAACAATCCAATGCTTCCTCAAACACTCATGTCGCAGACTCGAGCTTCAATTGTGATGTCAGTGATGTCATGGCTTCATTGGCTAGAGATGAAGACGAAGAAATGAGCTTCTTCACTCTTGCCAGTAGCAGCTCTTCTGGCGGGACCACAAGACCGGGATCGGTCGCTTCCAGACTATCCTTTCATTCTGTTGGTTCCAGTCATCACAATAACAGCACCGGATGTCACTCATTTAAACAGGCACCACAACGCGGACGACTCTCACTCTCACCTTCCACTGACGCACACAAAAAGGCGTGCAGTCTGTCTCCTGCTAGAATCTCAATGAAAAAGACACCAAACAACATTGTAGACCTCATTGAAAACATGGACAGTGAAGAAGGAGAATACATCATCTTTGTTGGAAATAAAAAGGACCTTACGAGTGTTGATGGTGGAGGCGATGACGACGACGATGATTACAACGACGACAATTCCACCTATCTCAGTATCGGTGGACTCAGTTTGGGGGTCAATAGCGCCGGATTTTGCAGCTGTCATTCCTCTTTCAGAAACATCACCAATGGTAGTGGTAGCCATTCGAGTTTAGGGTACCGAGTCGAACTCGACAGCAACAAGGATGACACCAGCAATCCCAGTTTGGGATATCGAGACCCTGACAATCAAGATCGCAAAATTGCAGGTTGTCTTCACTGCAGCAGCCACGAACACGAACACAAACACGATGACAACAAGGACGACGACAATGACAGCCAAAGTGAGGAAAGTGAGGTGCACAGTGACGAAGAATGGAGTCAGAGCGACAAAAGCAGCAGCGGTGAAAGCAATGGCAGCAGTACATGTAGCAACCACAGTTCCACAGACTCGAAGGACGACAACGAAAATGATCACCCCGAGAAACAGCAAGGCAGCAGTGCGAGGAATGGACCTGGCAAGGACAGTCATGGCGGTGGCGGTGATAGCGAACCAAAAGCCGATGTGAAATCAAACTCGGCCAATCAGGAAAAGGTCACTGGAACGAGTGAGGTAGATGGTGCGGTCTCGTACTGTGGCAAAGCACCCAGCGATGAGAAGTTGACAACGTTGCCAAACGACGATGACGTTAGCAGCAACGAACGGCAGGATGTGCCCAGCACAATAGTGATGAAGGCTGATGGGGATGATGTTGGCGCTGGGGGTGCTATTGCTGCAACCAATCATGTTCGTCGGTGCGAGATTGACGACAAGAACAATACTGTAGTGTCTCACGATGTTGCGCCCGATAATGTCGAAGCTAAGGGTGGCGAAAGTGCTGTCCCGAAGTGTGCAATGGACAAAATCGAAAAAGACGGTTCCTGCAGAAGCTTGTTGGGCCGCACTCTCGACAGCTCTGAGAGTACCGACATATTCACCTACGTGGCGTAGCGAAGAATGGCTTCGTGGTCACGGTTCATCTGCAACGAACGGTCTGGCGAAAACCTCAAAGCCCGGAACAACGCTTTGCTTTTTTGGGGGTGGCGGCGGCAACATGGGACTGCCAGGGAATAAACACTCATCAATCATCCATCAATCTTCAACTTTTGGTAGCTAGCTTTTAGCAATATTGACGCTGATCTATTCATGCGATCTTGGCTGCACTACTACTGCACATTTAAAGTTGACTATTGAACAGGGTCCGTCCACCTTCCGGTAGGTTGTCAGCGGTACCGGTAGTTAGGCAACTCGTATGCCAAAAAGCTGATCTTTGCCATGAAGCTGTCCTCGGAGCCGTCAGCTTTCTGATCAATCAAGACATTCACAGGATAACCTTCCTCCATTGCGTATGTTACACTGATTCTGAAGGCACCAATGGCAACAGCAAGCTCGATCCGCAAGAACATGACCTCCACACTATCGGGAACCATTGCACGACTGTTTTCGAGTTCAAAGTGTACCTGTTTTTCATTTGCATCTGTCACTCTGTTCACAATTGCCCTCTTCACTGACACATTCCAGGGAAAGGGATGAGCTGGGTTCTCCCTGGTGCCACCGTTAGAGCTTTCAAATTGGTAATCATAGTCAACGACCCCCAAAGCATCCCACTTTTCCCTCGCCGCTTCGAGCTCTCGTTGTGCCGTTGACTTGACCGTATACGAGCTGACTGAGATGTCAATCTCATCATCTTGAACGTTCAAGTCCGGGTCAATGTAGATTCTTCGAGGAGCGCCTACTCCAAAGTCGTATACCACTTGAATCTCTTGGTGGTTGGTATCTATTGCATTCTGAATGAGATCGAAGAAGTCAGTGACTGTGAATGGCGCTACGCCTTCGCCTTTCACCTCGCGACCAGAATCTGTTTGATGGATCCAAGCTATCTTGTAATCATGGACCAGCACTGTCCAGGGGAATGTCATTGGCTCTTGACATGTCAAACATGGCCGAGACGAGTATGTGTACTCGTATGACGTAATTGCCTGGGAGAACCAAAGATTCTTGGCTTCGTTTAGCCCCTTCTGAAGCACTTCCTTCCCTTTGGTTGACACCGTGGCTTTTGCCGAATAGAGGCTCCGGTCCAAAAGTAGAAGGACGAATAGTGCCCTGATCATGTCCGCACGGTAGGTTGGCTGGGTACTGTACTATTCGAGGGAACCTCTTGTGTGTTTCTTTTGCCGGCTGTTTCACCCAAATCTATGAGCCTTTTGGTTTGTTCCGATTGAGACTCGACTCTCCTACCCTGTACTACCGATAGCTATACGCATGTAGTACTAGTACGGCACGGTACCGGTATGGGTGATCATCCTTGATTGGGTTGACAAGGTAATCACCTATCTTTTTGGCCGGTCACGTTTCCTCGCTTGGTCGCTCCTTGCTACAGTACCGGTAGCTTGGACGAGCTTTGCAGAGGATTTCGACGCAGCGGCAAGCAAAAGCTTAGGCGACCGGTCTCATCCTCTCTACCGGTACCAGTACGTAGCACCCACTTCCAAGCACTAGCTAGTCATGCAAGGGATACAGTAGCGCACGTAGGACTTGTCGGACCTGGATTACTACTTGGCGCAGCTCTCCATCTGTAGCAGGTACAGTCGTACCACCTCCATTTTAGACTACTGCCTGGTTCGGTTTGCTTACTGGTGCCGGTGCGCAGTTGTTCAAAACGGAACGGGACTTGACTCTTCCGACCCAGCCGACCACAGCCAGCTCCAATGATGTCAACAGCTACATCAACATATCAACCACCTACCACCATCCTGCCAATCCGAACATCCCAACCTTATCATGGTTGCTGTTAGCTCCATTAGCTCTGCTCTTGAGCTCTTGAGTCTAGTACTGGAGCTCTGGTGGCTACCTGGTAGCAACTGAGTGCATGGACATGAGTAGCTGATAGTTTTGAGTACTCCTGGGGTAGCTACATGTGGCGAGCTAGCCAGGAATCCCAGGCTGCACTGTAGAGTGTACAAGTGAAAAGTACTAGTCTAACGTTGAGTATAGTATATCTACTGTTCTGAGTGATGGATGCAAGCAGATCGCACTGAACCAATAGTTAGCTAAGGTAGGGGGGAACAAAGAGTATCAAGTTTTGATATCAATCACGTTATGTTAGTGTCCTTCGTCATGAGAACCAGGGCAGCCATTGTTGCAGAGCCACTGGATCACTTCACTCTGTTTGTACAAGCAGGCAACATATTTTATTTAAATTAAAATAGGCACATGTTGATGCATTCCATGGACAGCCATTTGCACGAGCCGACTTCAAAACTTCCAGATGTCCATTTTTAGCAGCACAGCCACATGTCTCTTCATCCCATGGACAACCATTTGCATGAGCCCACTTCAAAACACGAAGCCAGCCAGGGCTATCATTTACCTTTGTTGGATTCTTCTTGAGTTTATTTTCACAGTACTCTTTGTATTGCTGATTCATCTTTTTGTTGACAGCTCCACAAAAGCATACTGTCCAACACCAACAAACGGAAAAATGCCTTGGATCAAAAGGTCATCGTCAGTGGCTGACAGAAGAGAATCAACGGGAGGAGACATCTTCTGTTACTTGTTGTTAATGTTGCTTCCACTGCTCTTGCCAAAACCAGTTGCAACACTATCATGGTTCAATATTACCGTAGTTGTCAAGGCTACTGGTGCCGGTACACACAGACCAAACTGCAACGGTTTGCAAAAGATATCTCGTAGAGAGTGAGGGATAACAATCATCTCTGCTGTCTATGTGAATTCCTAAGCTGGCTTGCGTGAAATGGTCCTGAGCGGATCGTGTCGCAAACGCACTTTTCTTCTTTTCTTTGTTCCTGGATTTGAACGCTGTAGTTCCAACTAGTTCCATTCCGTTCCTGGACCCTAGACATGATTAAAATTTTATGCATAGTCTACTACTATTTTAAAGTAAGTAGCTACCGGCGGTACTTAGTTAGTAGTATTTTTGGGTAGGGTGATTTGTCCCTCACAAATTTTCACTTAGGCTAAGTGTTCGTAAATCCGCTTAGGCTAAGTGGATTTACGTGAATCACTTAGACTAAGTGTTCTACTTAGCCTAAGCAAAACACTTTGGCTAAGCAATACACTTAGGCTAAGTGGTGCTCTCCGAGACATCATCTATCTTCTCAACAGCACAAGTCCCTGCAGCTTGTTGTATACACAAACTCTGTATTACTGCTGATCCTCATTCGCAATAGTAACAATGTTGCCAGCAAGTGCTTTGGGGCTGTGCAATGAGGGAATGATGGCCACGCCAAAGGCACAACTAACGACCAACAACTCTCAGATGGTAGGTAAATACACTGAACATGTATTTGGAAACATCGGGAACATCCAAAATTTTGCAAGAAAGCAACATCATTTGTACACCGGAATAGTACTCACAACTCCTGAGGAGTATTAATACTTTCGAACTTCCACCCTGGAACCGTAATAATTCCCAATCGTACAAAGTCTCCCTTGGCACTTTTTTATTGTTGCATATTTACATTATAGCCAAGGGTGGAAGCCAGATTAATAGTATGCTGCCATGTATGGATGATACTATCCTCCAGGGAAGTCACAACCTGGATCTAAATCTCAGTCTCAGCCCAATTGAACTCTTTCTTGTGAAGTTCCTTGAGCAGTTCGCAGGAAGCCTTGCATAAGGTGGAGGATATGGTGGGTGATGGTTGTATTAGAACTTGTGTTCGCGCTTTGTTTACAGCAAGCTGCAGGGACTTGTGCTGAACTTGTGCTGTTGAGAAGATGCCTTGGAGCGAGAGCATCACTTAGCCTAAGTGTTTCGCTTAGCCTAAGTGAGTTGCTTTGTATGGCTTAGCGTAAGTGTATTGCTTAGCCTAAGTGTATTGCTTAGGCTAAGTAAAACACTTAGTCTAAGTGGATTTTCGAGCACTTAGCCTAAGTGAAAATTTGTGAGGGACAAATCACGCTACCCCTACGTTTTGTAAAAGAACATGATGGTGAAGAGAATAGAAAGGCAATCTATTTTGAGATATATTTGCATGGTCTCCTCAAGACGCTCCTGAACTACATATACAATCCAAACTCAATAATAAGAAAGCTCTAACTGGGAGTCAGTACTCGAGCTTTCTTACCCAACTGCTCTATTTTGCTACTCGTTTTATTTCTAAGAAAACAAGCCAATTTCAGTATAGATGACTTTCTTACTAAGCATCTATATCAAACAGGGTAGTGTTTGGTTACACCCAGTGCACCTGGGCCTTTGGGTCCAACTTGCTCAGGACTCGTAAATTGGGTTGGGTCAAAAAGAGATGGTGATCACATTGTCTGCCGCGAGGCAGAAAATTTTGCAGTTTTAGGCACATGTTAGGAGAATTTTCATGGTCTCAGACTAGTATTATTTCTTGAGCTTTGAGGTATCAATACTGGGAGGTTTTCTTACAAGTCTGTGATATTTCAGTATAAAAAGATTCTTATCTTTTTCTAAAATCTGAGTACTCGCTTTCTTATTTGGAGTTTCTTACCTTCAGGTTTGGAGTGTACAATCCAAACTCAATAATAAGCAAGCTCTAACTAGGAGTCAGTAGGTCTACTCGAGCTTTCTTTCCCAACTAAAATCTGAGTACTCGCTTTCTTATTTGGAGTGCTTTCTTATTTGGAGTTTCTTACCTTCAGGTTTGGAGTGTGACAAACCTTAGAATGTTAAATAAACTTAATGAACGCACAGCTGCTGTATCCGCTATTGCAAAATTTGCTGTAAACAGAGGGAAGAGGGAGTTGATTGTTCTGACGCAAGTGTGATCTTGGTGTACCTGCCCTTTTCTGGGAATCTGAATTTGACTTCGCTTTCGTATCAGTACTCGTACTCTTCACAGGTCTCTTCTCTGTTCCATGAAGCCTTTCTGCGTTTCTATTGGTGAAGCGTGAGCGTGAGTCTTTCTGGCATCTGTTGCAAAATCAATTCGACTGGACGCTTAAAAAAAGAGTACTTCTCTTCTGATACAGTAGCAGGATACAAGAAGATACCGGTACATACATGCAGGGCGCAGGGCAAGTACGAGTGGTACATGTACTCAATCTTCATAGTTCCTTCACAATTGCCCTACTGGGTCTGCTCTAGCTAGTGTCTACTCGAGTGTACTCGGGTTTTGAGTCTCCCAGAACTAAGCTGAAGTAAATACTGCAACTACTTTAAGTATCGCACTACTTTTATTAGGACTGTACACTATACCTTCAAAGTATTTACTCACTGCTGTACAGTCTGTTCAGTACTGTAGCGCTTCTCGAATCGAATGAATCACCCTTCCAGAAAGTTCCTGCATGGTCAAGCTGCGACCTCTCAAACTCTCAAAAGATCCAGAAGCCCTTTCGAGCAGATGGTCTTTTAGTGTCTTTGATACCTTTTCCGACTCGAGAACAGCAAAAGTTGCCACAAGCCACAAGCCACACAAAAATAGCTAAAAGTAGACTAGTAGCTATCAGTGAATAGTCAGTTGATTGTTGTTACTACTGTATCATACCGGTATCTCAAGAACCAAGAACGGTGAACCATCTGAACTACTAGTACTAGCTAGCTAGTACTATTAATACCGTACCAGTAAAAACAAAGATGAGTGCATTGGAGGAAGCTGCTGCTGTTGGTGTGGCAATGGCTACTAGTGCTGCTAGTGCTGCTAGTAGTACCGGTAGTAGTGAGGATCCCGAGATTGGCTCACGCAACGCGAGTGGTCATCGTCTGCTTCCCAAGACGTTCGCTCCGTCCGTCAATGAGGTTATTATTGGTCAGTGCATACCGGTATCATGTTTGTATATTAATAGTGTGTATGTACAGTATGTAATGGATCGAGGCTTACCGTCAAGTTGTTTCTATTGTTTTCGTTTTCGTTTTCGTTTTTAATTTTCAGGCCGAGGCCGCCGAGTTTGGAATCACAGCGGCAACGAGCGTTTTCAAGATCTCGTGCAGTCGCACATGTACGAGTACTCGCGAGCGACGACCAAGACCTCCAAGTCGGCCATCATCTCGCGTGTCCTTACTCAAGTCAAACAGGCCAGTTCAGTGGGAGGATTCGTAAAGCAGGAATCTTCCACCAAGCGCTGGTACGCCATGGAAGAAGCTTCTGCAAGGATCAGCACCGCACAAGCCTTTAGAGACTCGCTCAGTCACACATACCGCTCTTCCAAGCAGTTCAAGCAGCAGAGAAGGTGGAATTCAAGAGTTTCAAGCACTACCGGTACCACCACCCCTAGCATCCATCCTGCGCCAGGTCAGGATCAAGGTCAGGGCGAACACCAGGACACAAACTTGCAATTGCTGCCAAGACCGGTCCGCTCCATCAATGCCAACAGCACCTACGGCACCAACACCGGGCCAGGCCTCCGGGGCATCTTGAATTCAGCCTTGGGTATCATGGGGGAGGACGCAGAGGAAACCACCAACGATGGAGTGAACGTGAACATGACCATGATCTCCCGAATCCAACAAAAGAAAAACTCACTTGATGCACTATTGGACACGTACGCTTCGGGGACCGGGACCGGGAACGGGGCACCGGTCGAATGGACGCAGAATCCTTTCGAACCAACGCCTTTGCCTGTTGCGCCCATTGGACTTCAGCAGCACACTGCCAATACTAGTACCACCCAACCGATCTTGGCACCACTGCAGCTTACTGCTACCGCTAACGGTAACGGTACTATTATTGGGCAAGTCACACCCATACCAGAAAAAACTGCTTCCAAGGATCAAGCTGCCTTGGCTCTGCGAGATGTGGTATTCTTCCAAGTCTAGTCAGACTATCGGTACGAGTACTGAGAAGGCAGTACATGTAGTACTGAGAAGGACCGGCACCGTCATTACATGTCCTCACTCACTCCAGCGCAGCAACAACAACACCATTACAGAACCATGCCAATCACACAACCATCCATCCATCCATCCACAAGTAGGGACACGCAATCATCACAGTCATAGGATTGAATTGAACATGAAGTGATGAATAAACCATTCATTGCAGACACACCCCACGAGCAAACCGCACACGCAAATAAATGCAAAAGTACAGGTAGGAACAAGACTTACAGTAGTTTCACCTTGACAGTACAGTAATCGTTCACACAAAAAGATTTAGGAATATCAATATACTGGGCTACAGTACATATGCATACAGTATACATAGATGACTACAGTATAGTACCTAGTAGATCTACATGTACATGTAGTCTAGTAGAATGCAATTCTATTTCCCATCCTCCCCTACTACCAGTACTTGCACTACTAAAAGGTTCGTATACAAACTGCTTTACTTTACGAAAATTAAATGCTAACTATGGCCACGCTGATAGTGACCCAAACAAACTACATGTAGCTTCTCCTACTGGCTTCCTCCTCAAATGACCATGTTGTCGTCATCATCATCATCCTCATAGGATGCAATCATTCCCTCGTTACAACCCATGGTAGTAGTACTGGTAGTGCCATGGGAAGCACAGCGAGCAGGACTTGGCTCCTCGCCGTCTTGGCACGAATCACCATCGTCGTCGCTGCCAAACGGATTTCCACTATTGGCATCGGGAAGCCCAACCAACAACTTGGCGGCACTGATGTGGGGAGGGCTGTAGTTGCGGGTGTTGTTTGCCAAGGACAATGGAGCAAGCGGGGTCGCACTTCCTCTAGTGGTAGTACCGCTATCAGTCAGGTCCATCGAAATCTCTGCTGTTTGGGGATTGGAAATGCCCTTTCGGTAGCTGGGTCCAAGATAGAGCCCTTTCCATTTTCTGGTGAGAGCGAGCGAGATTGGAAGAATGACTTGTGTGAGCATGGATTGGATTCATATGGATATTATATCAGTGAGCGTTCGATTTGTCGTTGACTTACCCGATGGTGGTCTTGCCACACCAGTGACCAATATCTTCCGAGAGTTTTTTGGCACTTCGTTTTGGGTCCTTTTGCAGCGCGGCTTCCAGGATGCTTCTGATTTCGGGTTGACGGGCATCATGTTCTTGCTCCTGTTCTTCCCAGAAAGCCTTGTCTTCGGACGAGAGTGTTTCCCAATCAGCTCTTGCTTCGTCCATGAGTTCCTTGCTGCGCGAGCATCCATTGACCAATGGTGACTTTCTCTCTAGATCGTTGGAACTCATTCTTCCCGGAAGCTGATCTTTGCGTAGCCCCGTGACACTGAGTTCTGCCAACTGCTGCACGCGGAATGAGTAGAACATTGCCTTTGCAGTGAATCGTTTACGTGCGGCTTCTCTATTAGTGATGACACAAGTGCTGCAGGAGTAGTGGTTGGATCGATTTGCCGGTGCGACCTTGAGTTTGTTGTTTTTGGTGCGATGTTTGGTGGTCTCTGGTTTGTTCTTGCGTTGCTGGAAAGCGAGGTAGCGATGGTAGGCTGTAGTAGAGTAGAAGGGGGGAAGGACGAGATTAGATTTGTATTACAAACGAAAGCAAGTTTTGTGATGGAATTGATTGATTGTACAGTGCTTACCTTCGCCGACACCCCAGCTCCAGTTGAGGTATGCTAATGAGAAAGCATTTGGGATTCCACTTTGGTGTCTCATGTTGTGTACATCTCTAGCACTGGATGGTTTTGTAGCTCTGTATGCCTTTAGACTGGCGACATCTTGCAAGTATCGTTTTTCCCAGCGTAGACGATCCTGTCTGCGAGCGGGGAATAGATCATTTGCCCTCCATCCCTTTGGAAGGTTTTTGCGGTATCCTTCCTCTAGGATTTGTGGCAATTCCCTGTCATCTTCCTCCAGTGAGGCTTGGTCTTCTTCCTGGTTAGTAACGGCGACTTGAGCGTCCACAGCCACATGGGTTTGTTTTCGAGCATTGTTTCTCTTGGTGGCGGTGTTGTTGGCGACTTGATTCTCCTTGTCGCTGCTGCTGTTGTTTTTGTTGGTGGTGGTGGTGGTGAGAGGAAGAGCAGCCCGAGACTTTTTGCTGTCGTTGTTATTGTGGTTGTTGAAGGGAAGAGTGGCTGTTCGCTTGCGCTTGGAAGAGTTGTTGTTGCTGTCGTTGTTACTGTTGGACAAAGTGCTACTAGTGCTACTACTACTAGTAGAGTGTCTACGCTGATGGTGATGATGATGATGATTCTGATGAGAAGGAAGCTGAATGTATAGCATGGCGTCGTCCATGTTGTCAAAGACGTTGTAGATGGCGTCGCGGAAGTTCTCCACGTGTTGCTTGGCGTGGTCCCAACTGGAGAAGATGCAGTGAGCTACTCCTCGTCCTTTGCGAACGGCGTAGAACTGACGGGACACTGAAGAGGAGGAAGAAGAAGAAAAGGGTGTTCCGGCAGAACCAGTAGTACTCGCAGTGGTCGAAGGCGTGTACTGACCGTTCGAACGAAAGTCAGGAGTGCGAGTGTCACGATTGTCAGTCAAGATCTTGAGCTTTCCACTTTTGCCAAGAGAAGCCACTCGAACTGGACTTGTCGCCGCACTGCCACTTCCACTTCCACTACCAGTATTCACATTCACACTACTATCCATGTCATCGCGCTCACGAGCAACCGTGTTGCGCCCAGGAGTGTCGGGTTCTGCGATTGTCACGGCCATCTTCGTCTTGTCTTGTCTTGTATTGTATTGTACTAGTACTAGTACTCGTCTCGTATTGTTGATCGTCGAACCTTCAAGATTGTGACAACAAAACTAAACGTTGCTCCTTTCGAAGATCAACAATTAACAACCTTTCCTTTCTTCTTTGTTTTGTTTGAATAAGCTGGCAATTGCCACCGTTGCTCCTCCACAGTTTACCGTTCCCCTCGTTTGAACTGGCAATTGTAACGTCTTGCTACTCCTTAGCAAGATATTCTTCAACATTCACAAACAAGCATTGCAGAGAATGCCGAGGAGTGAAACTCAGTCGTGCAAAACGCCAGCGGAGGTGCAGCCGTTTGTTTTTTCTTTGTAAACGACACCTTTTCCCGTTCCTTCCGTTTGCCCTGCATCCCGTCCTCCGTCTCTTACCGAGCGATACTCTAGTAGTAGCTACTGTAGCTACCGGTACTGTAGCTATGCATAGTGATGTTGACGCACGTTGCGTTGATGGAATCAATCTTCAATTCTCGTATACGCTACGTACCGGTACCGGTATGCTACGGTACTGGTAGTTGACTAACGGAAAGTTTGTAAGTTTGTAATAATGCCTATGCAGTACCATTGTACCAAAGGGATCGAGAACAGCAACGGCTAGCTACTAGTACTAGTCGTCAAGATCAACCTGATGGATCTTTTCTGGGTTGGTCCGGTCATGCCCTTTCTGTTACGGTACCGGTAGGCTTGGCGCTGTTGGGCTCCGCGTGCCCCATTTAGCGTTACCTGTCGAATACCGGGTGCACCCAGCCAGATGAATGAATTGAATCGAGTGCATGGTACAAAACGAATGTATGTATCCTCTAGCTATCCTCTACTAGCTAGTCTAGTCTAGCTACAGCTGGCGCTCAAAAGAAATCATGACCGCAACCATAGAGCAAGGGCATCAGATGAGACTATGCAGGCACCACCGTTACGTGTTACGTGGCAGCAACGACGGCCAACATTCCAGCCAACGTACCGACCGGTACCAGTACCGGTATTGGGCGGGATGAATGATCAATCCAATCAGAATGAATCGAATGATCCAAACAAATGCATCCTAGCTAGAGTGGGTTGCTCGTTTGAACCACAAAGTAGTCTTGAAAGAGCGCACACGAAGAACGTACAGCAGGCAACGGCATCAGATGACTCGACTCAAGTATTTGGAGAGCAACGACAAAAAATCCCACTACTAGTACCGGTATTGGCGCCGTACTACCGTGCATGCATGTACGTTCTTGCCATGTTGGCAACATGTTCACCTCACTCACCGTTCTCTCAATCGGCAGCCCCCTGGCAGGCTGCCATCGCCATCATCGAGACTTCGGGACGACGATACAGAAACAGAAGGCGGCAAACTCACTAATGGTAAAGTTCTCCCCCGACTTCATTGTCGGCCATGCCGAAGCGACTTCGTCATGGCTTCGTTCCATCATCTTTGATGCACGCCGGGGATGGAAGAGCTCGAAAAGTAAGTTTTAGTGTATTCAAATAAACTACATTACAGTACCCAATTTTTCCTTTGGCAGCATCTACTATTATTAATAGTATTAGGTTAGCTAGCTGTCCCGATGGGAGAGAAGCCAAGCGGAGGGGGCGTAAGCGAGGGATTCATGATCGATGTAGTGATTTGGATCTTGGTTTGGTTTGGCGATCGCGTACTACCAGTAGTAGCTCATCTTTCGAGTGTTGAGGATCAATGTTGAGGTATCGTAATGTGCATGCCACCAAAATTACAGTCGCCGGGTTTCGCAGGTCCTCTCTGTACGGCATCCCTCCATGAGATCGTATTGAATGATTCAATCAGCATCATCGTAGAACGCGAACGGTCATTTGGACATGGTCTTTCGCTCCGCTGTCTCCTCCAGTCTTCCTGGTCGTTGGATAGTGCCGACTTTTCTCCCAGACTGAAGATTCCTACCGGTACAGTATGATGTGAAGTCACGTTCTCATCCGTAAGGAAGAGTGCACGAGCGGCCATTGCTCCGAAATGGGCAATGTGACTTTGAGCGTCCAATTAATTAAATGTGTCGTAGCGCATGAAACTAACACAATAGAGACTTGGAAAGGTCGTACTACAGTAACCTTGGTTCCTTCCTGATTTTGCTCCTCGAGACCGACAACGATTAATCGAACGCCTTGGCACAGCAACCCACCAGCTTCCCGAACCGCTTCGAAATCCACCAACCTCCAACCCAATCTAGTTTCTTGCGGAGCAAAACGTCGCAGGAAATGGACATCCGTCGTCTACCGGTAGGGTTGTAAGGTGCCAGCAGCACAATTTGTCACACTGTACCGGCACGTTACAGTGTGTTCATTTATCCACTCTCCACAAAAGAATGTTGGTGTGGGTTGGGTCGATCGGTCAGGTCAGTTCGCGTCTTCGTCTTCTTCATCTTCTTCTTGCCAGTGTCGTGTGACTTCCTCGTGAGCTTCTGTGGCGGTGTGTAGACCAAACCTCAAGTTGAGGCTCTCCCTTTGATGCTTATGATTGTCGTCGACGTCGACGTCGACGTCAGCAATAACGGCATGTAGGCACATATTTCGTGCATTTCCCGCCAGGAGATAGCATTCTCCTTGTTTCAATTGGAATTTCCAGGCAGGTTGTGTTCCCGTGAGTGTGTCTTCCTTGCCACCAATGATGAGGATGGTTGCAGATTGTTTGATGGCGACAGTGAGAATAACTTTTCCAAATCCTTCATGTAAGGGCCAATCCAAGTGCGCGGCTAGATGACGAGCCCCATTGTGTAGATTTGGTTGGTAGGCAATGAGTTGTTCAAGTGACAGGTGTTTGGGTGTCCTGTTGTCAGTGCATGTATCATGGATAAAGCCAATCAGTTGTCGAGCTGCTGACTTTGCGATTTGTAGGTATTTTCCCTTGAGTATGCAGGTAGCATTTTGATTGGCTTGTTGATCAATTTGAGCTTGTTTTCCATTCTTTTCTTGTGCATGTAGTCGAATATCTGACTGCTGGAGTCTGCGAAATGCTTGTGGACCTAGAAATCCAAATCCACGTAGACGTGAGGAGTCCTGTCCAACTCCTGCCCACGGCACCATCTTGGAGACCCCAATCTGGGATTGAATGTGATCATGAATGGACTCCAAAGATGAGAGCAGCTCACTGGGCAAACGGCCAGTCTTCATCAGGCCTTGAAGAGGACCTTCACATGGAATATTGGTACTGGTACTGGTCCTGGTACTGCTAGTTGTGTCGGCAACGGCAATGTTGCCCCGAAAATTGAGCTCTGTGGCTTCTGCTGCAATTTCCAGCAAATCCTGCAAGTCTTGCTCTTCTGCTTCCTGCAAGTCTTGCTCTTTCTTACTACTAGTAGTACTGTTCTTTAGATTCTCATGCTCAGCCGCAGCCACATTGCCATCACCCTCAAGACCCGTTTCTTGGTCTTTGTGCCCTTGCTTACACAACTCACTGTACTAGTACTAGTACTAGTACTAGTACTAGTACTAGTATTAATACTAGTCTCCATATCACTGCATGACATGGTCCCACAACTATAACCACTGCAGACAAACCTATCACCATATGCATGTGCCCATGCACACAACAGCGCTGGCTGAATGCTCTCGCGAGTGATCGAGTGATGGTTGGAAATGAGAAAGACACAAAAAATAATGAGGAACCGATCCCAAACGACCCACGCGGACACCCAGAAACAGGCAAGAATGTCCTGTCCTCTTTGGTGGTTGTACAGTATTAATAACTCATTTTATTTAGCCAAGTCTTTAAAGTCTGGTTCTCCGAAATCGGTTTATGAGAAAACGGTACTCAAAGCCATAAGTTTGATAGAGTGCACTTCGCACAACGCACGACGTACCAGCCACCAGCCCTTCAACTACTGTACCAGGTACTAGCTAGACTATTAAAAAAATACCGGTACGTGTATCTTTTTTCGCCACTGTTGAACGTGGACACGGACTGGGCCCGGCCCGGAAGCTGTAAGTGACATGACCAGTCAAAATTTCTCACCTGGACTGATTCGAGTCACTCACGATCTCACGACGGTCCAAGGGCGGCCCTTCGCTTACTAGCTAGTGGTACTAGTACCGGTATCAGGACGAGCCTTCTCTCCACTATTACCGGTACCCGGCACAACTCATAACTCATCACAATAGCTAGTCTATATCACAATCAAGAATCCAAGCTGTGCCACAGGCAAACCAATCGATATCCTCCATGATGTTTGCAGTGGGTAGAACGCTTGACGGCAGCTTTGAGGAGGGACTTGTCCAACTTCCTCTGTTCTTGGGCCATGCCAATGAATCCAATGATACCATTGACAGCGCAGGTAATGATGCCAGCACTGATACTGATACTGATACTGATACTGGTAGTTGGAACGATGAAGAGCTCGTATTGGCTCCGTTACACCACATGCTAGTCCGCTACAGCGAACTCAATGAAAACTCAACACGATATGATCGACTTGTGGCAGCGCCTTCCGATGGAGCCATGCAGATCATGTGGATGGGATGGACTGTCATCACTGCCATCTGCAGCCTCATTATACTCGTCATATTTGCTGGTCTATTGTCATCCAAAGCAAGAAACAAACCATTCAACGTATACCTGCTCTTCCTTATGCTTCCAGATATCATACTCAGTGCACTCTGCTGTGTCACTTGTCTACAAAACTACATACTAAAACACTTCTCCTCCTTGCCCATGTGCCACTTCCAAGCTTTCTACTGCATATTTGCTGTTGCATCCAACGCATGGCTAAGTGCTGTCGTATGCAAACAACTACATACCATGCTCATTTCGGCACACCAGCCACTTCAGACGATACAAACCACCCACCACCAAACAAGTATTTTCACATGCTGCCATGGCATACCTCTTATCTGCATTTGTGGCTTCTTGGACTCTCGGGGAACTCATACTGGGAACACAAAACAGTCAATGGTGGCCACACAAGACACTACTCGTGGGAGGCGTAGAGTGCCTACCCATGGACTTTGGACTGGCAAGCACTCTCTTCTTCTACTTGGTTTTCTTCCCACTACTCATGGGCATACCGCTTCTATACACCTTGTACCTACTCTACGACATTATCCGAAACAACCGATTGCCCCCAAAGGGAAACCGTCGACATCTAACCGTCTACTTTTTCAGACTGATGCTGGTATTCGTTGTCATGTGGTACGTCGCAACTTACATGTTTGTATACTCACATTGCATCTTGTACCGTACCGGTATGTATTGCTACTAGTATGCTTCAACTCCTCACGGAACCACTTGTTGCTTTGACCACTATTCATTGTGCCTTAACAGGACTCCTGGACTGATATTCTTGTTTGTCTCTGGTCAATGGCTGAGTCCGTGGGTCAAGTGGGTTGGAGGCTCATGGTGAGAAATTATTGATTGATTCAATCATTCATTCAATCATCGTCATTGCAAAGACAGATAGACGATCACGAGCAACTACTAACCTAAGTGTTCTTCTTGCTTCTTCCCCACCAAAGGTGCCATCTTCAGGGTGCTGTTTCAGCCATTGCCAGTTTGTGGAAGCCGGACATCTATGCTGCCGTCAAAGACTTTTGCACCTGCAAGGTGTGGCGAAACTGCAGATGCTGTCGCCGGTTTTTGCCATTGCCTGCACCCGAGCTAGATTTGGAGAAACTGCAGCAGTACCGCACTACTGGTACTAAACGAAGCAATCGCACTAGCATTGATTCATCCGGTGGTGGCAGTGGTCGCAGGTGGCGAAGACCCTCTTGGAATAGTTCCCTTTCGTGGGGGAATCTGTCCCTTTTGGGCGGCTTTGGGCGATCCACCACAACGTTTTCGCATACATGCACAAATACATGTACAGACGATCAACGAAGCTTCAACAACTTTGGTAGCTCATTGAACCTTCCGTTTGGAAACGACGACGACGATGACAGCAGCAGCAGCAGCAGTAGCCGCAGCGGCGATTCGGCGTCTGCCCATTTGGAAGACGAATACAACGTCTCCAGCAATACGCGCACCATCGGAAGGAACTTACAGAGTCTTGTTGGCAACGAGGATGAAGAAGGAGAAGAAGAAAAAGAGGAGGAGTTGAGCTTCAGCGACGACGCGTTTGAAGAGTTTGCCGCCAGAGAACTTGCCCCTGAGGAGGTGGAAGAGTCCATTACATGTATAATGATTGACCTTGACGACGACAGTGATGGCGATGACGACGATGAAGAAGATGTCGGTACATGTACTGATGATGCATCTGCAGCCTGTGACATAGAAATGTCGGTGTTCCAACCGGATGCTGTGGAAGACTTGGATAAAGAGGAGGAGGAGGAGGACGACGACGAATCGGCCTCCTTCATGATTGATGCTGGCAGCCGCAGCAGTCATGGTCTCCCCAACTTTTCCTGGCACGAGAATGCAGAACGGCGCATGGCAAGTCTCGAGCGTGGCAATCGACGACACTCCATGACTTCTTAGCACGCACCTTGACTTCTTGTTCGAGGAGCTAGCTATTGGTAGCTAGCTACGGCTGTCCTTCTCTGCATCGCCAACCTCACTTTCCTCGGAGCAATTTCCTGTCTAAACTGGCGTGGCGATTGACACTTCTTGTTTGAAGAGCATTCTCGGCAAAGGTGGACGCGATCACCAGCTCCAACATGCAACATCCCTAGCTAGCTTCGGAGCACTGATGTCTGGCTGCTCCGTAGCTAGATATGGCAATTGGCCACTCATTGTCACTGATAACTTGGTTGATACTAGTCTAGATTGCTGTCTGATTGTCGCTTGACCAGTATTCTGTGGAGGAGCATCTTCAGAGTGGTATCTTTCAGGGAGCCTGGCAAGCCAAAGGATGGCCCTGCTACACAGGAAGCAGCTTCTTGTTCGCCTAAGCAAGATAGGAAGCAGTCCAGCCCTGACGTCTCAATCCACCGCCCACCTCCAACCCCACACTGGTACTTTGGTTGCAACATGCCATGAGCTCTCCTGACCCATCCAGTCATCCTCTGCCTCGCTCCCCAAGAGGGGGTCCGTATGGGAACTTCCTGTTGTTTGGTATGCTGGTCACACTGAGCCTCTATGTGGCCTACTCTTGTGGCTATCCTCTGGAGCTCTCTCCTCATTACCACAGATACTGGGTGTCTAGCTAGCTAGATGGTTGACTTACTGTTCCCCGTCACGGCTCGCTGCTTTTTCTCAATTGAAAGGGATAGCGGTGCCACGACGAACGATCAATCACTATCTACGGTTGCTTTCTAATCGACAGTACGATGTACGTGTACCGGTATGAGCTCGGAGTATTGATCCTCCACATCATGGTCAGAACCCTACATTATGCATACTAGCTAGTAGTTCATAGCTAGCTAGCTAGCGTGCTTTGCGTGACAACCTGACTCACGTCTTGTGTTGCGGGAGCGCTAGTACAGTACTGTACGATACGCGGGCGGTGTAAAGGGTGCTCTAATTGGGTTAGGGATACTTTTGACACAACACCATTGGCACAAAACTTGGGGCAGTCGGCTTCACATGTATGCATCGAACAGATCGGAACAAGTACCAGTAGTGTACATGTAGGATGAGGATCCATTACTTCTCGTCGTCCGTATCTTGTTACTAGAGCTAGTACTACAGGTAGTACTAGTGTGTTCACCATACCGGTACATGTAATTTTGACTGGAAGCACAAAAGTGAACAATGACGAGATCTGGAGGTGGCGTGTCCCCCGTAGCCTTTGCCCTGGTAAAGCTACTAATGTATTGCACAGGCACAGGCACAGGCACTGCATATAGTGCGCAGTTGTTGTTTGTGTTGTTTAGTGTTGCCGTTGCCGTTGGTGGTGTGAATGGTGACAGACGACTTCAGATTTCAGAGCATTCAGAGTGTCCAATTCCGTGTTGCAGTATGCACCTACTCCAGTGTTTCAGCGATCCTTGCTGCAATCGAAGCGTTTTCTCGTGTTTTACCTGGACTTGTCCTGATGACAATGACAAAGGCAATGACAAAGGCAATGGCAATGACAATGAATATGGACAGAGAAATCCTGATTTAGGGTTGTTTGGTGCTGAAAGTACCTATCTTAAGTCTGAAGCAAAGAGCACTCCTCCCTTTATTAATAGTATTAGAATTCCTGAAGGACCCTACATTGTGGCAGGAGTCAACAGCTCTGAACGAGTACTCATACCGGATACCAGCCCACCATTGCTTGCAGCAGACCCATACATGGACTTGTACAATTCAACACAATCACAATCACAATCACAAACCAATTGCCCACATGCTCAGCCTGATCTCAAGAGATGGCACGACCCAAACACATGGGGACAACTGGGCATCCCTCAGGCTGGACGATCCGTTACTATTCCTCAAAACACAAAAGTATGGATTGATCTCACCATTCCATACACTCTCAGGTTCATTACTGTGCCTTCCACATCACAACTCATCATCGGACCCAATCCACAATATGATGCACGTACAGAATATACAGATGGAACAGGAATACACATTCAAGCACACGGAATACAAGTTTTTGGACATTTGATTGTGGGGGCCCAAACTTGCCCCTCGCTAACACCCGTCACCATCACCCTTCATGGAAACAGACCCGGGCATACCGTTGTACCCCCACCAGCCGAACACATCAAGGGAATCTCTGTCAAGGGAGGAACTCTCAGTCTACATGGAAAACGATACTACCACACATGGGCAAGGCTCGCAAAGACCGTAGAAATAGGAACCAACACAATACTTATACAGCAACCCGTAAACTGGGATACAGGAAGCAAAATCGTACTCGTCACCACCGCCATGAAAGACTCCAGAGAGTGGCATCAAAATGAAGTACTCACTGTCCACCAAGTATACAACAATCCAAATCAAATGCTGGGGGCACTAGTTATTGTCCAAGAAAACACACAATACAGACACATTGCAAACTCGGCATATCAGGGAGAAGTGGCACTCTTGTCAAGAACAATCACTATTCAGGGAGCACCTCACGATTCCGAACCAACGGACCCTGATCCACTCACTTGCCACAGCAATCACCACAATTGGTGGGGAAGTACTCACATGCCCTGCGCAAACAAAGAAATCACCGGATACGGGGGACATGTCATGATCTGGCACGGTGGAAAGGCATTCGTTGACGGGGTACAACTATACAGAATGGGACAGACAAATGTCCTCGGAAGGTACCCCATGCACTTTCATTTACTTGGGGATCATTGCTCAACTTGCTACTTCAAGAGTAGCACCATCTGGCGCAGCTTCTATCGATGCATATCCATACATGCCACAAACCAAATCACCGTACAAGAAAATGTGGCATACGATGTCACTGGATATTGCTATTATCTAGAAGATGGAGTCGAACAGAATAATACTATTGCATACAACCTGGCAGCTCATGTACACATCATTGGGGAACCTGCCTGGGGAACCGGACAAAAAATTGAACCAGTCGTCGAAAGAGACGATCTCATCTTGCCCGCCGATATCACAGCGTCTGGATTTTATATTACCAACGTGCACAACCGAATCGTTGGCAACGCTGCAAGTGGGGTAAGTCCATGGAACAGATACATGCATGTTCAACCAAAGAAATCTATTGGATAGTATGCGATCTTTGACTGACAGTCAGTCAAATAGCAGACGTACGGGCAGGACAAGTCTCACATTTTTTGTCTTTCAAAGGGATGGGCTGGATTTGCTTTTCCAAATCTTCCGCAGGCACTGCAAACTCATCGGCAACTCAACTTTCGGCCTTCCATCGTCACATCGTTGGAAATTGATGGGAACACGGCGCATTCCACTGGGTGGTGGTGGGATCATGCCGGGGGATTCTACTTTGGAGGTGTTTTGTACTACAACAGCCAAGACAAGCTCGAATACAATGCCGGTCGAGATTGGAACTTTACGGATCACGGCCGATGGCCTTGCAAAATCAACAGCTGCGAATTGTTGAGCGCATGTTACAAGTGCAACTATAATGATCAAGCTTGGAATCGGGTCTCAAACAGCAAAGTTTTCCTGGTTCCTGGTGTCGCATACAATTCATGGCATGGACGCATGGAAGTGGAAGGAATCGAAGCACACGACGTTGGGTTGGCTCTGGAGTCTCTCTCCAACGGATTCTGGCTGAAAGATATGTTAGCTGTTTGCCGGACTGGTGAGCCAATCGCAATGCCCCCGGGAGCATCCATGACGAGAGTTCGAGGAGATGGATTCTTTTGGTACGATACCAATCAGGAGCACATCATAACAGACTCGACGTTCCGCAATTGTGGATACAGGAGCCTACAATACGACCAGTACGATGCCTCGCCAGACAGAGGATGCAGCAACGATCCATACAGTGGATGCAGCAGCCAGTCATCCGTATTTGGATTTCGGGTGCACTCAGATCAACACACTCCCGAAGTGATGCAGGGAACCAAAAACATCACATTTGAAAATTGTGGACGCCGATTCTATCTTTTCAACTTCCTTGGAACGGATGCGCCCATCACAGTATCTGGCAGAGGCCAGGGATGGCTTGATGTTGATGGAAGCGCTGCCAATACAGGTTTTCCGACGTTAATTGGATCTGGATTCGGCGATGTCAAGGATTGGTGGGGAGTGGACGATGAAGGTACGTTTTTATGCCTACTGTACCGTACTCCCTTGCTTCTTGGTTTTGCTGAGTGTGTGCCCCCTTCCGCTGGTGCAGTCGTGTACGATCCACAGGGTCCTCTGCGCTTTGTGCGACAACAGCGGGAACGGGGAATTGGCCATATCAGTCTCAGTTGGGCTGGGTTGATCCATGATCAGGTAGGAGACGAGCTTTGTGGTAACGGCAACGGCGCTTCATGCCCTCGAGTGGGAACTATCAGGCACATGGGACCCAAGTTCAGCCCCCATGCAGGGAACGCAGAGGCGATGGTGGTGACAGCAAATGCAGATATTGTCGGCCCTGTGGGTGGATTTGGATGGCTTCTCGAGTTGGATGAAGGGGCTCCCAAAACGCTGCGTGTGGACATTCCAGAGATCATGCCGGATACACCGCTTCTGCTAAGTATTGCCTACCCCCTTGGAACCTCAGTTAACATCACTCAGCATGCAGCTAGATGGTGTCGTGCAAACAGCGAGTTCTCATGCTCCGAGCCATTTTCCTCTGTCGACTCGGTCGCAGAAGTCCGTAATGGTCTGGGCAATACGTATCATTTGGGCAGCGATGGTTTGCTTACTTTGAGAATCATTCAAGGTCCGCGCGACTTTGTGGGTCGTCCTGATTGGTTCCTTCCGTCGTACGACGACCCCGGACGAAATGGCGGATTCGCCTGGGCCCGGTTCGAACGCGGAGGGGTGATTTTGCCCTTGGTTCAAACTGGCCCTCACCTGCTCATCGAAGCAGACTGCGAAGTTGGGGAGACTAGAAGTGCGTATTGTCGGGATTACCCGTCTCGATTGGACCCTGACGTGTGCCCCACAGGTTACAATCAAACTGCTTTTGATGCTTGCTGTCGCACGAGTGATGGCCGTAGCGGCACTGAGTGTGTTTATGCGTCGGGGCCATCAGAGGAGGAGGAACCGTAGACGCGGCTGTGTATCAGTCACGAATGTGAATCAATCAACAGCACAAAGACACCACACAAAACGCAAAACACAACTAGCTAGCTAGCTAGTACAGTATGTGGCCGACAGTCGCATGAACTGAAGACTTGGTGGATTGTGTTCTGCTACCAGGTACATGAGCAGCGATAGAATGACGAGCACCGGTAGCGTTACCGGTACCGGTACAGCAGCAATGGATGCCAGTCACCCTTTGTGGGTTTCTGACTGGAAAGAAAGCAAAGGAGAGGCAACCATCCAGAGACACTGTACCGGTATCTCTACCAGTGCCAGCAGTGTACCTGTACCGGGACACGTGGAAGGAGAAGATAAAGAAGTAGATGTAGTTTTGTACTGTTCTTGGTTCTGCCCCTTTGCTCAACGAGCATGGATCGCCGTGGAAGAACTTGGGATCAACTATGAGTATGTGGAGTGCAATCCTTACAAAGTGGATCCAAGGGAACCAGGTGGATACACCAAGCAGTCCTTGTCTCTGCCTGACAAACAGAAACTCATGCCACAATTCATGAAAACTTCTCCCAGAGGACTTGTACCTGCCATAACTGACGTTCAACACAACAAGGCTGACGTTTGGGAGAGTTCTGTGGTCATGGAATACCTAGATACAACCTATGGACACAGCACCCTTTACACAAAATCACCACACATTCAGGCACTCCTTAGGATCTACGTAGATCACTGCACCGCCCGGATTCAAAAGTCTTACTACACATTCCTCATGGAAACAAACCCACAAGCACAAACAACCGCTAAAAACGAATTCTTCCATGAATGCAGAGTGCTTGCGTGTGCCATGGCCCCAACCGGTACCGGTACCTCTGCCTCCGAGTCGTCATCCAACCTAAGCACACCTACACCTGACAAAATCCTCCAAGAGACCATGCGCGTATTGCAGAAGGATACCGGGAACAAAGGCATGCACATCCAGCGAGTCGATGTACAATCGCTCTCCCAGATATCCCAACGGGCATTCCAACAGGAAACAGGAAAAGATAACCTCATTCAACCTGGTCCCTTTTTTCTGGGACAACACTTCTCGGCAGTAGATGTCGCGTTGGCTCCCTTTTGGCAACGCATTCTGTGGGTTGGAGCACATTACAGAGACCTGAAATTGCCAAGTGATGCAGCCTTTGAACGACTCGACACTTGGTGGCAAGCCGTATCGCAGCGGCCCGGTGTGGCCAACACACTGGTGTGCAAGGAACGACTGGTTTCTTCGTACCGACAGTATGCTCACAATATCGCCACATCCGATTTCGCCAAAGGAATGCAGTCTTCCTTGCGGGGAGAATCCACGACGACGACGACGACGACGACGACGACAACAAGGCCAAGATCGAACATCCCAAAAGAGGCAACGCACTGATTCCATTCGATTCGATTCATGTACATGTACCAATACCGGCACCAACTATTAATAAAACAGAAGGACGTATCGTATCGTATCGTATCGTAGAATGCGTTTATTTACGTACATGTACAATATTAGAAGAACAAAGCAGGTCGTGATGAAAGGCTGAGAGCGCAAGAAGCCAAATAGCTAGTTGGGTGAAAAAGGAGAGGCATTGATGGCATAGCTCCTGGTACTGTACCGGTACTAGTAGCTCATAGGTGATGTTTGAATCTCTTGAAAGATGGGGCCGTCGTGGATGTATCCGCTGGAGCATCTAGCAATCTTCCTGTAGCGTCCGAAACTGTACCGGCCTCTCTGGTAGCACCCCTCTTTCCCAGTATGGTACATGTATCAATGTGACCCTGTTCGGGAGTGTTTGCCCTACCGATACCGCCCAATGCGACGGGAAGAGGCGAAGACAAGACAAAAGGCACAGTGGTGGTCATGTGTGTGCTTGCGCCCAGCGTGCCCCTCAACAAGGCAAGCTCCTGATGCTGAAGCCACTGTAGGTGACGCTGTCTGTTATGCTGAGCTGAAAGTGCCAAAGAAACCGCAGCGACAGAGGAGGGAATCAAAGTCTGTGAAGATGACTGATTGGCAGTCTCTCCTAGAGCCATAGAAGCCAGTGCAATGTCAGCCTTCAATTTTGCAATCCTGGCTTCACGAGAGACGCATGCAGAAAGGGGCATGATTGAGGTTCCTGGAAGAGCTTGAAGTCCCAGAGGAAACTTGTGGCTTTGGGCCATGCTTGTACTGGTACTACTACTACTAGTGCTTCCACTTGTATTGACAGTGGCAGTGGCAGTGGTACCACTTGCAGATGTGGGCTTTCTAGAAGCCTCAACCATTTGCAGAACCTTGAGGCTTTCCTTGTACTTTCGCTCCATTTCTCTGAGTTTTGCACGTTTGGCAGCGACTTGCTCTGGAGTAAGAGCGGAAGTCTTTCGCTTGTAGAGTTGCTTGCCATTGTAGAGCGTCCCTTCAAACTTCTTGCTGATCCGCTTGGGACTGCAATTCAACGCCTTGGAGAGAAAACGACGTAAACTGATATTTTCCTCGATACTCAAAGATCCCGCTTCAAACTCTTTGATCAATTCCTTGACATACTCCGACTCTTCGTGCGTCCATTTTCCACTGTGGAGCTCACCAACATCAGATGCTCCTACAACTCCAACACGCATGCTACGAGTACCCATACCCATGCTAAGGCTCGTCGTACTAGCACTACCGGGATTCCTCAAAGAAAAACTCATACTAGCTACCGGTAGTCTAGTAGTCACACAATACTACTAGTAATACGGTACCAAGCTCTGGAAAACTAACCAACTCACTGCTACCGGTACCGGTAACACTCTAGCTAGCTACTAGTAGCTTGCAATTGCTTGGTTTTGTTTTGTTTTGTTTTGTTTTGTTTTGGTTGGGTTGTTGAAAAATTATATGGTTAGCCCAGCCTGTGAGATCGACTGGTGTGGAAGTGCCAGCTTGCACAGTTACACTCGATCTGGCCACCATGCACACTACTACTAGTAGTAGTATGCATATTTCAACAGTTTTAGCTAGCTAGATCTAGTCTAGCTAGTTAAAGCGACGGCGAACTACAGTACACTGAACGCTGAACTTCCGCACCATCCAAATGGCACGCTGTGGCCTCCGTAGCTCCGTAGGTTTTCTACATCGAAATAGCTACCATAGACTCGGATGGACACCGGACTGAAGAGCTACTGAAGACACCAGAAGAATAAGTAAGTCCCTTCCAAGCAGTAGCTTCCAAGTTCTTTTCATCACTGTGCACTTTCTCTACTCTTCTATTTCGCGCATGGATGCTGTGTTGACCGAACTGTACAACGATACAACCATGCGAAGGCTATGAGTTGAACCTCCACAGCTTTCTTTTCCAGTGAAGGGTCCACCAAAAGACGACTTAATCATGAGATATTGCTCCCTTGGAGTTCACTTAACAATTGTTTCACTGGTATTAATGAAAATAGCACTCGGTGAGCTCTCGGTGAAAGGCCCATCGAGTGCGTATGCAAACAATGTCATACTCGTACAAACAACTTATTACTCAATTCCTTCCCCTTCCAAGGCAGGTTCCTTTGTGACATTCGAAAAGAAGCAAAACAAGACTTGCCGGCTCAATTGAATGTTCTGCGTACACTTCTCACTTCTCTTTTTGAAACCAAAAACCTCAACCAAAAGCCACGTCTTTCAGTCTAAGTGCCAAAGTCATTCTCCCCAACTAAAGAAACTGCGCAGCTTCCCTTCTTTTCTATGAACTTTATTTCTTGGTTCTTTTCCTGCACCAATCACATCCTGCAACACTCACCCAACCTAATCACCTCACACAAGAGACACTAAAAGATCAAAAGATCTCTTCCATCCGGTCCACAGACATTTTGGATTCACCACTGGTTCTGGGTTCTGGCTCCCCCGAATTCCAATTATCTCTACCTACTCTGACTACTGTACAGAGTACAGAGAGTAGTCTAGTACAGTACCGGTAGCGAGCAAGCTGTGGGGGAGTACCAGGTACCATACCCAAGACTAAAATGTACCGGTACCGGAATCGAATCGACTTTTTGAACCGAATCGAATCAATCGTACCGGTACTGGGAGTGGTAGCAATGCTACTCGCGGCACAAGACGCACAAACATTGTCGCCATCTTGAAGGCAGAGAACCCTACCGTAAACACTTCTCCGCTGCCCGCTCTAGCTACTGGTAGCTCTACTAGCTAGCTGGCTGCGCTAGCTAGCTAGTAGCTAACCGGACTGAACTATAGATCAACGGTCTATGGTATCGTACAAACCAGGCCCAACATTCAAGGACAACGTCGGGTAGGAGCTCAAGGAGAACCAATGCGCGACCGGCCGCTAACACTGGCAGCTGGAGGGCCTCCGGTGACTACCTGATGACGTCACGGCTTAACCCAAAAGTTGGTGAGTCGCGAGGAGTCGCGAGAAGTCGCGAATAGTCGTTTTGCACAGTCGCGCGACTCCACGCGGATGCCACAACGACTATTCGCGACTTCTCGCGACTCCACGCGACTCCTCGCGACTGCTCTTTGTTTTAGCTGGTTTAAGCTAGACAAAGTATCGCGACTCCACGCGACTCCACGCGACTCCACGCGACTGTTAACGCGACTGTGCGCATCTGCACGCGACTGAGCAGTCGCGCGACTGCATGCGACTTTAATGTGGAAGCAGGCCAGTCGTGTTATTTGGCATCGGATCGCCAAAAGTCCACACACCGGAGGCCCTCCTGGCACCAGTGCGGTGAACGAATGCTGTTGGCTTCCTCAAGTGCTAGCTAGTACGCACGGTAGACATGTATGTGTGTGTGTGTGTGTGTGTGTGTACATGTATGTATGGAGGTTGTCTCTCTAGCTCTTTTAGGCAACCGGTACCAGTACTAGTACTGCACAGTAGATCTACCAAATGCGCTATCATAGCATAGTACGGTTTCTTCTGCTGTGGAACCATGACTGAATGTCCACCGTTTGTGCTAAAGAACCCCTACCCCTACCATCCCTCCTTCACAAGCTGCAAACAACCTTTACGACACAACGCAGCCTGAAGGAATTGGACTGATTCTTAAAAAAAACACATTCTTCTACAAAAGACAGCTCAGTGGTTGGTGCTCCCGACTCCCGACTCCCGATCGCTCCTACAACCAAAGGACTGTGACGAGAGACCACCTTTGAGGCAGGGCTGTGACCACTGAGAACGACATGCTTTTATCAAAAGAACTTGCAAGTGTATGATGAGGCTGGTTTGTGGCCAGCAATAGGAGCCGGACTGAAAGAGACCACCTTTTTTGGAAGGACTGGGACTGAGAGCGACCACTGAGCGATATGGCTGTGCGCAGGGAGGAGCTGAGCTGCACTTGACACCTTGATTAGTCTAGGAGGACTGAGCAACATTGCTAAAGAAAGTTGTATGTTAGCTAGCTTGCTTCCTCCTCCAGGTAAGATCTAATACAATGACTGCATCGGGTGAGGAGGACTGAGAGGAATAAGAGGACCCGTTCTGGACCGTCCGACGTTTTTCGCTCAGGCTTTAAAACTCGACACGACTGACCCCAGTACAATTAAGGGCTTGTTTTTTAAGGGCTTGTTTAGGGGCTTGTTGAAGCTTTAGGGGTTTGTTTTAAGGGCTTGTTTATTTAGAGGCTTGTTTGCTCCTGATAATGGCTTGTTCTATGGAGTTTACACGAAGGCTTAAGGGTTTGTTGTGAGAACTTAAGGGCTTGTTTTTAAGGGTTTGTTTTTTAAGGGCTTGTTTAAGGGCTTGTTTAAGATTTAAGGGCTTGTTTAAGGGCTTGTTTCCAGTCGTGGCAATTTGAAGTTTTTTAAATCCTGAGTGAAAAACGTTGGACGGTCCTGGAGAACTCCAAGCGGTACGTTATTATGGCTCAAGAGCTGGCTCAAGGCTCAAGCTAGCTCGCTTCACTAACCTTTACACACACTACTCAATACGCAAGGCTCTTGAGCGACCGTCCACAAGCCACAAGCCCACAAAAATTTCATGAAAACACACAGCAGTCTACTAGCTAGTTTTGCTAGTACCGGTTCGGTTCTCCCCCAAGCTCCCGCACGTTTCGTCTCCACTCAAACACACTTACTTTTTAAAAATAAGGGGGGGATTAGAGTAGGGAAATTATCTACGGAAGCCAGCCAGGGCCAGGCTTAAGCAAAGAACAGTCGGAATTCAGGACTAGGTTCTGTGGGATCAGGGGCAAGAAAGTGAGGACCAGTACGGGGGCCAAATGGTTTGGCTTTGCGAGATCCACGGAGACATGGACATAAATGGTAGCTTTCACAAGGGCAATTGAGATACGGGTCTGCATGAAAAACATCATTTGAGAGTAGGAAAACTGAGTTTTGGAGGCAGTAGCAGAAGCAAGCCGTTGTAAAAGAATCTTGGCTTGGGGGGAAGCATGCCATCCACAAAAAACAAAGGGATGGAAGGAAGCCGATTGAGTCGCACGCTGCTTTATATTTGGAAATTTTGTCGCGTTCTTGTTTGGTTAACACTTTGACGGGATCTTTGTTTCGGTAAGAGGCACAGTCCAAATCATGACACGTACGTCAATAATAGCGTATACCACGTTCGAACAAGCGCGAATGGAAAGATCACCACGTAAGAGCTCGGGGGCTGGAGGGATTGAGAGGGGGGAGAGGGAGGTAAGGTGGAAATTGGGTGCCGGCAGGGATGTAGGGCGGGAACAGATTGAAGGGGTGGTTCTGATTTGACGCTAGAGGAACCAAAGATTCACACGCAATAGAACCAGTTCATGCGGATTTCATTATGGCGACGGATGATTAAGCCGCCATGTTTGCAATCCAAAGCATGTGGAACGCTGAAGGGACCAGTACAGCCATCACAGAGAGCTGGAAGAGCTGGGGGGACCGAACCGGAAAAAAAGAGCATCGCGCCATTCTTGAGCAGGGAGGTGAGTGCATTTGGCAATATCGGGCATGACCGCAAGCCATGGGCCAGTGCAACGACTGCGATTGAGGCGTGACTGCTCAGCCGGAGTGAGAGTGGCTTGTCCTGTCCACGAAGACAGAGGACCGATTAGTCATGTTTACTATAGAAAATACAGTACTATACTACCCCTGTACCGTGTGGTACAGATCCTACACGGCTACGACACACATACCACACGCTCCGTATGTAGCGTGTGGTAGGCGATTCTACACGCCTACCAAAGGCTACATACGGAGCGTGTGGTACAAAGCCTACACGAAAACGACTGACGTCAGTCGAATCCAATGAGTAACACGACTGACGTCAGTCGAATCCAATGAGTCAAATCGCGCGCGCGATTCGATTTGAATCAAGGCAAGGCAGAACACCTATTTTTAAGATATCGCATATTTTCTTCTCACCCTTGTTTTAAGATACTTCGAAAGGGTACTTCCGTACCTACATGTATTTGTACATAATCCCCTCTGGAGCCCATTTGACTGGTGACTTTTACGGGTACCACAACTCAAAACATGTGCAACTAGATGCTCTTGCCCAGACTAGCTTAACCCTCCTCCTTCTCCCCTCTGGAGCCCCTTCAACTAATCACTTTTACGGGTACCACAACTCAAAACATGTGCAACTAGATGCTCTTGCCCAGACTAGCTTTAACCCTCCTCCTTCTCCCCTCTGGAGCCCTTCAACAATCACTTTTACGGGTACCACAACTCACAAACATGTGCAACTAGATCTCTTGCAGACTAGCTTAACCCTCCTCCTTCTCCCTCTGGAGCCCCTTCAACTAATCACTTGCACGCTACAGAGGTAGTATAGTACTGTATTTGCTATAGTAAACATGACTAATCGGTCCGACAGCTTCGTGGAAGGGTACCCGTAAAAGTGATTAGTTGAAGGGGCTCCAGAGGGGAGAAGGATGAGGGTTAAGCTAGTCTGGACAAAGGCATCTAGTTGCACATGTTTTGAGTTGCGGTACCCGTAAAAGTCACCAGTCAAATGCGCTCCAGAGGGGATTATGTAGATACGGTACGTACCCTTTCAAAGTATCTTAAAACAAGGGTTGGAATGAAACGTGCGTTATCTTAAAAATGGGTGTGCCGCATCGACTGACGTCGGGCGCAGTGCGCGCACCTCTACGTGCAAACGTGTAGAGAGCTACATACGTAGTGCACGTAGGCTTTCTACACGGCTGTAGAAAGCCTACGTGCAATAGGTATGTAGTGTGCACGTAGGCTTTCTACACGGCTGTAGGATTTGTACTTGCACGCTACAGAGGTAGTATAGTACTGTATTTGCTATAGTAAACATGACTAATCGGTCCGACAGCTTCGTGGAAGGGTACCCGTAAAAGTGATTAGTTGAAGGGGCTCCAGAGGGGAGAAGGAGGAGCGTTAAGCTAGTCTGGGCAAGAGCATCTAGTTGCACATGTTTTGAGTTGTGGTACCCGTAAAAGTCACCAGTCAAATGCACTCCAGAGGGGATTATGTATGTTCAAGTAGGTACGGTATGTACCCTTTCGAAATAGCTTAAAACAAGGGTTGGAGGCAAAATTGCGTTATCTTAAAATTGGGTGTGTCGCTAAGCTGTGCGCGCCAGTCGCACGGCACTTCTACGGCACATCCAACTGCACGCTACGTATGTACCGTGCTGTAGCCGTGCGCTAGTCGTGTAGGATTTGTACCGCACGCTACAGAGGTAGTATAGTACTGTATTTGCTATAGTAAACATGACTAATAGGTGGTGAGCCCAGGGTCTCGAAAGCCGCTTGGTAGGCATCGTGATGAAAAATTAATTTTTAAAAAATCCAGATAGCTCACATTCCGCAAGCGAGAAAATCCTGTACTTGCTTCGTCAACCCGGTAATAGCTTCGAAAAGAAGCTACTCCTGTACGCTCACTCGCTTCATCATTGCTTTGTTCCGGAGGGTCTTTGGTAGTGTCCGCTGCCCTTAGCTAAGATATTTGTTTTAATGGAAGTCATCTCACCACCACTAATTATTCATGATCTAGGTAGCAAGCAAGGTAGCTGCTACTGTAGCTGGAGCCACCAGATATCTTTTCTCCAGCCCACAGTTTTCCAGGTGTTCAAATAAACATTAGATTTTGTGAAGCTCCTCCTAAGGAATCCACAACTTCTGTTGCTCCTGGAAGCAAGCAACATACAATTTAAAATACATTTGCGTGGTGGTGTTCAAGGATCTCCTCCCCCCTACCCAGCCTCTTCACGAGCTGATTTTGTGTACTAGCTAGTTCCACTCCACATCCTAGCTAGTAATACTGGTAGTACATCTGCAAGTGCAGGGATGATGGCTTCAACCAACTCTAGCATTCGTCGTGGGCCCCATGGTTCGGCTGTACCGGTATCAGAGCTGCACAGCGGAAAGTGGACCATGGAAGAAAAAAACTATGCAGATACATTGGTCAAAGAGTTCCAAGCAGGAACACTCTCTATCAAGGAAGGAGTCAGCCTTCGTCGCTTCCTTTCACAACCGTTGAACTGTTCTTGCAAGTGTCTCAAGAAGAAGTCAAGAGTCGGAAAGAAAGTCTTCAAGAACTAGAGCATCAGTACAAGGAGAGCCTGAAGGTTCTCAAGATGGTGGAAGAATCCAGACAGGTTCCTTCGGGTACAATGACAGGTCTTCTTGGGTCCGACAAGGCTTCTACTGCTTATCCTCACCGTGTCAATCATACCTACCATGCTTCTTTCCGGACTCCACCACCAGCTTTGCCTGAGCTCGATCTGACGTGGGGAAGCAACCTTTTTCCAGAACCACCCCTCGCGCTACGCCATCAGCATACCATCATCACGTCTGGTCACGACCCTGATGAAATCTCCGCTCGAAGAATGAGATTGGCTCACTTGAAAGCGCAAGTCTTGTTGGGCACTAGCTAGTGCTCGAACTCCCGTTGATGCTGACCGGACTCAATGGCCACGCTTTCAGTTGCAGGCCTTCCAGAGTGTCGAGGCCAACACAGGAAGCATCCCCGTGACTGCTGCAGCAGTGAATGGTTCTCTGGTTGCGGGACGGAACCCTTGGGCCCTAGCGCACATTGGCAACAGCTCCGCGACGACTCCGATTTCAAACGGGCCAACCGTTGTCATGTCCCCCGCCATACCGATACCGGTACCGGGTCCGTCACCAGACTTGTTCGCGGGGCTTATTTGGGCGCCGCAAGTCGTCAGCATAGCGCAATGATCCACGAGATGCAGGGCAAGGCTGCGATCCTCCCTGTCACTCTGGCAACTTTACACCCCACGGCATCTGGTGGTTCCACATCTTGTCCCGTTCCAAAGATGAAGCCTCCACAAAAAGCAGAGCAGAATGCTTTGATCATTGAAGCGTTGAGGAGTCGTGAAGCCACTGGTAGAGGTGCCGACAACGGCAGCAAACGAAAATGGCCGTGCAGCAGCTTGGTCGATGGGCTCCGGGACAGCAGACCAACCGCGCCGTTCCAGAAATATTCGGGCTTACGTGACTATTAGAATTCACACCTAGCAGCATAAGGACACATGTCGTATAAGATGCACATGTTATTCGTTTTCTAGTTTGCTAGGCGAATCAGAGGACCGCACTAGCTAGTTGAAATTCGCCCCTCGACCGACAGGAATAGTCACTCTCTTACGTTCTGGCATGGTGATTCCTATGTCCTTGGATGCGGCAGCCGAGGGGCTCAGCATTTTGAGATCAGCCTTCATCTTCCGCAATTCATTCTCAACCTCCGACGACTGCTCTAAGAGACGAAATTCCGATTCCATGGACATGTCTGGGATGAGAGTTAGGTCGGTGGACGCTTCTGCAGCAGCTTCCAAAGCTTCGACCTTTTCCTCCATACGCGTGAAAGCGCTCATCGAATTCTTGCCTCCTCCGAGACCACTAAGCATGTCATTGACCTGCTGCATGCTCTTTGCAGTTCTAGCGCGCGCAATCAATTGCTCTTTCTTGCTCGTGGCCTCTTTGATCTTGTTCTCCAAACTCATCATTGCATCGTACATCTTATCGCTGGCTAGACGTTGAGTCTCCAACTGATTTTCAAGTGCCATGGACTTGTCTACAAACGCTTGGCGGCGGCCGAGCGCCTCACGAGCCAATCCCTCGTTGCCCTTGCGCAAGGCTAAGTTGGCTCGCACGTACCAAGCTTCTCCATCAGCATCGGCTTGATCCTTTTGGCGTTGCAAACGTCGTTGCCTGGCAGTGGTTTCGGCATATGTCTGACGAATCTTGACGAGATCAGTCTGCGAAGATCGAACAGGCACCAGCAGTAAGAATACTGCAGAGGATACGCAAACAGCCAGCTGGGGTGCTTAACTGGGGAGGCGCAGCAACTTACCTGCATGTCATCAACAGCCTGGACAATAACTTTCTCAGGGTCCTCCAAGCCTGAGACAATCTTGTTCACATTGGCATTGAAGACTCTCACAAACCGATCAAAGAGATTGCCTTGCATGGCCAAACTGGTATGAGCTGCCCTGGTGCGTGGTCCGGCAGTAACACTGTTGATGCCGGGAACGTACGTTGTTTTGGCTGCTATTGGGCCGCTGACAGGTACGAAGCCTTGAACGACAGCACCGTGACAGATAAAGGAAAGGACGATTGGGGACAGCGAAGAAGTAACAGAGAGCTTCATGGTGGAACTTCTTTGAAACTTCTTTGAAACTTTTTAAAATGTTGTTTTGCTTGCAATTTTATTTTGAGGAATTCTTGAAATATGAGAACAACGAAGCTGTTGCTTTCTTTGCAGAGGCATATGAATGCTCTCATTTTACGACTGATTGGATTGTTCGCCAGGAATCGATTGCCACGAAGCGATTGGTTTTGTGATCTTTTGTTCCCTACATAGACTAGTCTAGCTAACTAGCTAGCTAGTTGCTCGATCTGGGCCACAAGATAAGAGCGAAAAACGCCACGCGGCAGCCAAATTGGTAAGGTACTTGCAGTATCGTGGGAGTAAAAAACATCCCACTGTCGCCCCGGTAACAATGTGCGACCCAAAGCTCTCTCGGTACGTGTACCTACGGTAGCTAGACTACTGTATTCAGTGGTAGCCAAAGTCAGAGCTTTACGCACTCCCGTTGACTGGATGATGCCACGGTGTTTTGGATGTCGCTCAGCACCCACACAACCAGTACCAGTACCTACCCTCACCGCGTCATCACGCGTGCTCTCGTTGAAGCACAAGGTACCAGGTACCGATTTACTCATATGAAGCAGCTGCGCTGGATTCTAACCTCACTTCACTACATGTATGATGCCAACACAGAAATGCCGTACCGGTAGTTGTCGGTGCTGAGTGCTCCAAGGTCCAGGACAGCAGTACGATGTACCGGTATTTATAACGAGGAGGTTAACGTTGACATCATTGACGAGTCTCTCTTGGAAAGCATTGCCCCCGTGGAATTTGCGTTCGATTCTCTCAAGGATGGTACATGTAGCTGGAACATGTTGGGTTCCATGTCTGATTTCGATGTGCCCTGTGTCGACGTCTAGCTACTAAACTGTGTAGTGCCTGAACCGGTACCAGATTGGAGAGCGAAGGGTAAAAGCGCTGGAACACGGTCCACAAGTACATAAATCATTACATTCAACTTCCATGAAGTTTCTTTGCCAGTTATCCATGCCTCTACCACTAGCCACCATGTACAGTCGTACGATGTACGAGCCTTTCCATCAGCACTCACAGTATGCACTGCTTATTCTTTGCAGCAATGCATGAAGAATGAAGCTGTGCTATTTAAAAATGAAAAGCCAATAATGCGTTAAGTCTTTTTTCTAGCTAGGCTTGTCCAAAACCGACAACAGACAACAGACCACAGACATTCGACCCACCACAACAGCAACCTGTAGTCTACTCAGTAGTCTATATCCGGATTTGTTGCAATGGGAATGTTGGTCTCTGCGATTGATGTGCTGGTGGGATGTTTCTTTGCAGCGTGGCTCTCTCTGATTGTGTACTTTGCAGATGGCGACATCAATAGACCTTTAAAGCTCGAGATCCATCCTCAGCATCTGGGCCCAATTTCCCGGCCCAGTAGTAGCGCTAGTGCTAGTGCTAGTGCTAGTGCTAGTAGTAGTACTAGTGGTCCCTTGACAGTGCTGGAGATCAGCGAGTACTTGTCTGGTTGGATTTCTGATCTTCACGCTCACTTGGCGTTGTCTAAAAAGGCGAAAGCAGAAGGGATTTGGGAGGCTTTCCACAATTTCACCGCGCACACGCTCTACCCGTGGGATCAAAAGTACCTGCAGCGAATGCCGCCTAGAAGACACGACGGATCCATATTCCTCAGCCTAGCTTCCTACAGAGACGAAAACTGCCTCGCCACCATGTCACAAGCCTACCAAAAGGCAAAATATGCGGACAAACTGTTCGTCGGACTCATACAACAAAGATGCTACAAAGACTGCAGAACGGGAATCATGGAGGATGGAAAATCTAGACCACAGCCGGAACCAGATCCGGATTGTCACAAAGACTTTTGTGCTTCCACCATTGGAAAGCCTCACTGTCAAGCAGGAAGAATAAGAGCATTGCATATACAAGAACCGGATTCTTTGGGACCTTACATGGCCAGATACTTTGCATCCAAACTATGGAGTGGAGAAGAGTGGTTCATGCAAATTGATAGCCACATGACATTTGCTCAGGATTGGGACCACATATCCATTGATGGACTACAAAAAGCACCATCACAAAAACCGGTAAGACACCAAGCAAACCCTTCTATTATTTACAGTATCGGTACATTGCCACTCGGACTGACTACTAATAGTCTGTATTGACACCTACCGTACCTGCATCAGGTTCTCAGCCACTATCCTCCCCCCCATCTGCAAGATCTCAAGCAATTTGAAACAAAGCCCTCTTCCAGAATATGTGGACCCATATTCACTTCGGAAACTATTCGTCTAGAAGGCAGTCTGGTGAGCTTCTTTTGTTATACATGTACATGTAGTGTGCAAGCACACTCAATCATGACATTGCTGTGCTCACTCACAAGCAACTCCTGGCACTTTCTTATTTCTTTCATTCATTTATTTATTCCTCTTATCGAGCAGGTCTACGACCATGAAAAATTGTCAACCCCACGTTTCTCACCGTTTACTGGAGCGGGCTACTTTGTGGCGCATTCATCATTCCTAAAAGAAGTACCTTTTGATCCATTCTTGCCATGGATCTTCATGGGAGAAGAAATCATCATGAGCAGTAGACTATGGACGTCAGGATATGACATGTTCTCACCCGCACAAGCCGTTGTTGGACATATTTACTTTAGACGGCATCAGGTAAGGAAAGAAAAGTTCCAATCTATCGTCCTTGCTACCGCAATTCTAATTGAACATCTAAAACCAATGGTGCTGGTACCGGTATCACTTACTTCATCAGCCCAAGTTCTGGGAGTCGGTACATCGGGCGTTCACCCCAGGTGTTCACAATCCACTCGAGGTACGTACGATAGGCTATAAATGCTTTGCCGGTAGTGTATCCCATGATGAATCCATGCATGCCTGCTTCGCCTCTGACAGGTTTGATTTCGTTCGCCGGTTGCTTCTGCTTCTGCTTCTGTAGGAGCTCATATTGGATCGGATCAAGTGCCAGCTCGGGTTTCCGGAGGCATCGCGAGACATGATTCCCAAGTCCCTGTTGACTGCCGTCCATCACTACACCATGGGCAAAGTGCGACCGCTACATGATTACATGAAGATGATCGGCATGAATGCCGCAACCAAAGAAGTAACCCCCATGAAATGGTGTGAACAAGGTCAGCCCCCGCCTGGGTTTGAACAGTATGCTTCTCTCTACAGCAGCCAACAACAGCAACAATAAGCACAAACCATAGCAATGCCCGAGCTAGCTATCTGATAGCTAGAGACCGGGCAGACGGCTACCGGTATAGTACAACGGCCTCCACGCACGATGCATGGTGAAACGTTGGACATTTTGAGCAACCTATGGTTATGTTTTACTGTGCCAGTGTTGGTCTTCACTAATACAGCTAGCCATCGGTGGCTGGATGCAAGCCCCGCTATCCCAACTCGCTCTTGCCAGCCACGGCACACCCACCTCGGATATCAGGGCAGCACATTCCCATTCGGCAGGTCTTGGCGTCTTGGCAGCAAAACATACTTCTGGAGATGTATGTATGTAGACTTGATGGTTACCACCCTGGCGGCCTCTTTAGTTGCAAAAGTCCTTGTTGAGCCTCTGTCTGATGCGTTAGTTCTTCTTGTTGCTGCTTGGCTTTCCTCTTTTGTGCTCTGATAGCCGTCTTGGTCTTGGCGCTGGACTTGTACTTGTCCCCTGTGCACGGGACGGATTCCATGCCGTGAGCTTGACTGCGAGCTTGTTGGTTTGGTTTGGTTACAATCCTAGTCAATTCAAACAAGTGACTTACCTAAACAATCCCTGAACATGGAACCCACTTCCGAAGGCAAAGCAAGATAAGGAGGAAAGCAAGTAAGCAAGTAAGTAGTGGACATGGGTGAGGACGTCGTCAAGAGCAAGAAAGAGTTTGCAGCAGCAAACAAAACAAAAAAACTGATCTTCCTCTGTGGGGTACCTTTCTCTCTGGAAGTTCTTTCTCCGACATCAACCCATCGGCCCTTTTCGAACTTGACAAAGGCCGCTCTAGGGCTATTCTCTCTGACAATGTCAAGGACCTGAGATACAATTAGAGATTTGCCTAGTTTGTCAGGAGCGTCCAGATATTGCTGCAGGTAGCTTTGCACCAAGATGCGCAGCTGACGGTTTCCTGAACTATCACTGGAAGCTCCTCTTCCCAGAATGACAGTGTGTGCATTTGGTTGAAAGTCAACTGGCAGGACTTTCTTGGCTTTCTTGCTGCCAAAAGTATTCAGAGCAACGCAAGCTAAGCTTATCTTTCCGCTGGTGGTTTCTGCCCTCAGATCATCTTCTAATTGTTGTCCGGTGTTGTTGGTCTGGTTGGTATACGCTTGGTGGGCTACGCGTTTGGTCGAATTGGTGTTATCCATTGTCGCAGAGAGAAAGTACATCCCTTCTTGCACCTTGCCTTGCCTTGCCTTGCACTGAATTAAGAGCTGAAGACGAGAGATCAGAGGAGGCGAAGCACGCAGCAGACAAAATCAAATTGTGATAATATCTACTGTGATATTGTGGCTGTGGCAACCTCCGGGCTGCTGTACTGTCTGACTGTCTGTCTCACTGTTTCAAGTTTCAAGCTTGGTCTGCAAGCTCCTGGCTATTGTTTCAACTTCTCAATAAGTTTCAAGTGTCTGTACGGTACCTTTGCACCTTTACTCCTTTATCTGCTGTGACGTTCAAGTTGTGTCCAGCTGCGGTGACCAGCAATCTGGCTATCTTGGTGATGTCAATTGCAACAGTCTGCCACAGCCATTGCTCTAGCTAGCTCCTCTGGAGTTAGGAGTCATAGGAGGCTGACAATGTATCGTGTGTAAGTGTGTAATACCGCAGAGAAACAGCCGACCCAGCTATCTAGCCAACCTGTTAATGCAGAGTTGAAGGGATTCTACTTGGAGTGAATTAGAAACTCAGGTACATGTGAAAGGGGCAGCACTGAACACCAAGCCCTTAGCTGTGCTGGAATCATTCACTTTGTCATGCTTCTCCATGCCGTCCTCAGTACTCTAGCTACTACTCTACTAGCTAGTAGTAGCTAGCTAGCTGGGGTATCAGGTTGAGTCGAGTCGAGTCTACTCGTCTACTCAGGTACAACGGGAAACCGGAAGATACCTAGATTTTCCGTAGGCGGCTGGTCCTTATGCTTGTGCTTGCTAGCTAGCCGGTTTTTGGTTCTGCATTTTGCTGCTGTACACTGTAGTTATCTTCGCTTCAGGTTCTCATCGATGCTCACACCACACACCACACACCACGCTGCAAAACTGTCCACACGAGTAAACTTATGGCTCTGTTCTTCGGAATTGCACCTTTCTTTTTGGTTTTACCACCCGTAAGTGTGAAACCACCAATTGGGAAAGCTCCAATTATGGGCTCTGCTGTCGGCGGTCGGCGGTACTGATACAGTGTGAAACGGGATCGGAGATTTCGGTTCGCTGACAGTCCCGCTTCTCCAGACACACTTTCAGGTCAACAACCGGTTGTTGGCACATAATGAATGCATATGCTGCTGCTTGCCGTCCAAAGTCGAATGTTCAAGGTTCACGGAAACGTGAAGGTTGACACCAGTAGCTAGCTAGCTAAAACGGTTTTGAGTTTGTTGGACTAACTCGCAGTACAAACTTTTGTCCAGCCCTTCAAAGCTTCAAATAATACATGAAATGGATCGGCAGGCCAGACTACGTAGCGAGCCCTGTCCCTGGACTTGACTTGGCTCGAGCTCGAGCTGTCAGCTGGCTGGCATCAAGCTATTGGAGCTCGGGCTTGGCAGTGCCCTGTCGATGGGAGCCCTGATCCGAAGGTTTTGACGAGCTCTGACTGCCCATGGAGGACAAATTGAAATCCCGCTCGTTTTCTACTAGCCAGCAAACTGCACGTTCACTTGCAGGCAGGAAAGCCTTCCAGGTGTCAGCTCATGCTCAGGTGGTCAGCCAAACAATCCTACAATTGATCTCCGTTCTGCCGTGTGGTCACTGATACTACTAACAAGCTAGGTGCCTCTCAGATAACAACCACAGCCGCAACAACAGTAATCAATGTTGGTGACCAAGCACAACTACATGTACCATACCTGCACAGTACGGTTTGTGCCTGTCCCTAGAAATCCCAAAAAGTGAACCGTAAAAAGTCTGAATTCCCACGAGCGGGCAGATCGTAACAAAGTTTTTTTGGCGTGCTGTCTTGAGGCAAGACGCCAGTAGAGATGGAAGAAATGGTGCTGGTGCTGTGCGTAAGCTCCGATGTTAATAAAAGGAAGACTGTCAATTCGCCTTTTGAGTACAGTACGGTACCAGTATGGCATGGACGGACTGAGTGATCAGGATCGTTACCGTGATTGTGCCTTTTCTTGAAGCGGGTCGAGTGAAGGCGCATCGAATCCTACGTGAGCACAAGACTGATTCGATTCAAGAAGCAAACCACAAACGAGCAAGAGTCCATACAAGACATGTTGCTGTCGATTGAGAAGGCATTACACCATCATACTAGGCATCTAACCTATCTGACCGTCCAATACATCCAAATTGGGATCACAACATGGTCTGTGTCTGTTCAAACTGGCTGCATGGTTAGCGGATCACGAACTAGAACAATACTGTAGCTGGAAAAAGGTTCTTGTACCCTTCAGAGCACATTGGTGACAATCGCCTTCGTCCAGTCAGTCGAAACCATTGAACAATAGTAGAAAGCCCAGGATGCGTGATACTCAAAGAAGAGAATCGGCAGCACAAAGCAATGCTCTATTAAATTAATCGTTGCCACTCGGATTCCCATTGTTGCCCCGTGAAAATGCATTTCTTTTACCCGTATTGCACACTTCGAGCGATCGTACTGTACAAACGGAATCATTATCAGACCTAGCACTGAGACGAGTGAGACCCATGGGCAGCGCCGCCAGAACTCCATTCTTGCTCCTTTGCCCTCCTTCTCGCTACTTTGCTCTTGGAACTTGACTTGTAGTAGTTATGCAAGGCATCTCTGAAAGAAGCGCCAACCTGACGATATTTGAAGAAACAGCTAGAGACGTGAGATTGCTGTTTCGAGGAGGTACACAGTGTAGTGGTGTCACGCCGCAAGCAAACTAAAACAATGGACGTGGTCCAACCTACCTTCTCCCGAGCAGCTCGTTCACCAGCATTCCACCACCTGCCATTTTCATACTTCACAAAAGCTCCCATTGGAGACGATTCTCGAACAATGTTCATAACTTTGGTGACAATCTGTGCAGTACACGGTACCACGAAGGTTAGGTACGCCATCGAATTTTCTGAACATGCAGTAAGCAACAGCGATGACAGTGTACTTACAAAGGTCTTTTCCAATTTCCCCGGGGCTTCCAAGTACTCCTGCAGATGATTTTGTACGATCGCTTTGAATCGCTTGTTTCCAATGCTTTCTGTGCAACGTCCCCTGCCAAGGATCACCGTGTATTCGGACGGGTGAAAGTCAACAGGAAGCAGAACCTTTGCCTTCTTGCTGCCAAACATTCCCTTAACCAAATGCTGTCCGGGCAGGCCCTCAAGAGGTCCGTCTGGTACTGGCACTGGACCTCTTGGATTGTTTGCAACAACGCTGTTTGCCTTTGCCATGATGGCAGAAGAGTCGTACGCAGATGGTTTGGTGGTTCCCATCGTCAGCATTCCTAGTGGATACTGAGAGGAGCTCTGGTAGGGGGTCGCCTTCCTCGGGCGTTCGAAATCGCCGCCGCCAAGGAGCTGGCTCAGTGCAGCAGCATTAGTTGTAGGCGGGGCCAATGGCCCACCAAGCATGGTGTTGCTGTACAATTCATTGCTCGCAGGTGCTGGTGCTCCGCCAAATGATGAGTCTGGCGCAAACGGACGAGGTTGCAAATCGGACGAAGAGCTAACCCAGGACGAAAGACTGCGGAAAGGACCACCCGTGGTTGAACCAGAACGTACCGGCAAAAGCCCTCCTTGCATGCTTACAGCGTCGGGTTGCTGGAGAAGCTGGTGGTGCGGATCAGCTTGAAAGTTCCTCGAAGGGAAACCCAGTCGATCTAGAGGTGGATAGTTGTCATACCGGTATCCTCCATCATGCCGACGAAGAGGTGCAAAGTCATTGCCGTCCGCGCCAAGGCCATCATTACCAGTACCATTATCGGTAGTTTCGCCGCTACGAGAGTTGAAGTTATTCATTTCTTGAAGGATGGCGTAGAGATTCATCAGATGATGGAAACACGTTTGTACCTGGTACCAGTAGTTCTTCTAGTTGGTTCTACCTTGCTGTAGGTTGACTTTCTTGCGTTTATGGTTTTTGACCAAAGGACGATTGGTTGTCTTCGGTGAAATCTTGGTTGAACTGATATTGTGAGAGGAGGATTCGATTCGATTTGTCTTTTGATGCCCTTGTACATGTACTGTACTGTATGTACGGTAGCGAGCTACTCGGCGGTTTGGAAAATATTGGAAAGGCAGATCGATAAGGTACGGTACACGGTACTGCTCTAGGCAACCCCACGCCCCACGCAAGTTGAAGGCTGGACGGCTGGACACCGTCTACTTGAAATTTTGCATTAACCCAACCAAGAAGCCGCTCGCCATCAAACAAGTAAGTTACAGCTGGCCAGACACAGAACTTAGAAGCCCCTTGTTTCTTTTTCACGAGGTGACCTTTTTCAAGACAATGTTCGTGTTCAAAGTACTTATACAATACATGACATGGCCGATGGCGGGGTACCGTAGTAGACTACTAATAGTACACTAGCTAGTACAATGTACTGGCTGGCTAGAGCGCTGCCAACTACCTAGCCACTATCTAGCTAGCTATTAATAGGCAGTCGGGGCTCACCATTCTGTACTAAAAACTAAAACCACTTCGTACATGTAGACAGTAGCTATCGTCAGACATGCACTACTAGTACGTAAAGAAAGGGGATAGGGGATGGCAGCTTTTCTCGCAATAATAATACTAGCTAGAGTAATTTACCTCGCCCTACCATGGTATCATAGACCTAGCAGCTAGCAGCTGACCTAGCTAGACCCGGCGGTACCGGTATGTTCCGTAGTTTTCCCTCTAACGAAGGTGTTTCAAAGGATCAGTAAGGAAGCAGGTCCACGGAGCATCGACCTTGAAGGAGTACAGCCAAGATCGCTCAGAACCCCGACTCACTATCATGTTCGGTACCGTTTTACTTAAAGGGTTGGATCAAGGTGACAACAAAGTGCATGATGTTCCTATTTCACCCTGATACCGCTTTGCTCGTCCTTTAAATATTGCTTTGAATTTAGCAACTTTGTAAAACCTTGCGGTGTGAATCTTTAATTCGGAGCACTCCAACTTGTGAAGAAACGGGAACAATGATAACAGGAGCGGTCCCAGCAAAGAACTTTAAAAACTGTCCGTCTCACAAACATTTAACACCTGTATCTTTCCATCTGTGACTGACGATCAGTTATCGGACTCAATTACATTAATTTGGCAACCCTCAACCCTCAAACCTGCTTTGCACGCGAGAAACTGCCTCCATAGTTCACGACTTACTGAGTGCTGAGTATCTTCCGAATGGAGTAGTCGCGCGAGGTATTAATAGGGCCTACTGGCCACCTGCCCTCTCGTACCGACGTACTAGTACCGGTAGGTTATGGTACACCGTAGGGATGGTGAAACCATGACGGGAGCGACACCATCGCAGACACAAGTTGCCAAAAGGTACGAGCTTCCTTCACTTTGTTCTTGAATGGACTGCCGCAACTGGGAGAGGCCGGGCAGCAACCATAAAGTGATGCGGTAGTGCAAACTGCAGGCTGTTTGCTAGCTAATGAGTAGCAACCGAGCGAAGGCTCTTTGACCCACGAACAACCAAGTTGTGTTGTCTAGTTCTTTTCTTAGTGGTGGCATTTTATCTTGCGCACCGAGCCGACATTCACTCCTTGTTGCCATGATGGCTGATTCGATTCGATTCTTGACGATTAGCTGGCTACATGTAGTTTGAAGAATGGGCTGTAGATGAACAGAATTCGTTGGATTTGGCTCCTGCGCGATCAAACCTGGCAAAACGAGACAGAGTATGATGGCCTCCTAACCCTAACTTCCAAAGGACAAAGATGGCGACTTGAACATCGCCCAACGCCTTGGCCATCCTCAACTGTTCAGTCCCTTGTTATGCCGATGTGATCCTCGTGCCGCATAAAATAATACGAATTGCTGCTCACTTTTTCGTTGACAATGAGAAGTCCTCGAAGGAAATGCGAACGATGGATCCTTCCTCTCCTGGCTCCTGTTTGTTGGAACTGTTGGCTTGGTTGAGGAACTAATCCGAACGTGTAGCATAGGTAGCAATGATCAGAGCCATCTGATATGCTTCACAATTTCAACCGACGCAAAGTAAAACACAACTAATCTAAATTTCTAGCTCCTTGCTAGCTACTAGTAGAACAACTACTGTATGGTCATATCTGAGTAAGCTGCCAAGATGACAATTCTTCGACGAACTCACAATGATCACGTCCCATTGGCTCCAGCTTGTGAAGACGCTGGCATAGAAAGTGACGCGTCCAGCAGCAAGGTGCATTCGGCTGTTCCTCCTCCTCCAAGACGCCTGAAAAAGCGCAGATGGTCTTTCAGCACTGCGAGAGAAGAGATGGAGGATTGGTTGCTGGTGGCGGCCTGTGTTGCCTTGGTCTTGGTCTGTTTGTTGTGGTTTCTCGGAAAAGTGCTGGCTGTTCTCTCGTGGTTATTCTTGCCTCTTTTGGATTCCATCGTGACTTTTGTCGTGGAACACAGTGGTCGGCATCACCAGCATCAGCATGAGCATCTGCATTCCCAGGGTGCAGAAGCCTTGAAAGAGACACTCCCTCTGAACTCAGCTTATGCCATCCCCCATGCCCATCCTGCCGTGGGAGACAGAAGCCTTGAATATGCCATTTTGAGACAGGAAATTGACTCCTTATTCCCTGAAGATCACAAACGATCGCTTCTAGCCGTTCAGGAACTTCAGGTACACAAGCACTTACAAGTGGCTCCTACCATTCCAGTCAACAAGAACCAGCACAACAGCGATCAGCTTCCAAAACCTCTCTACGATATCTACAACTGCCCACCTCAACCTCCCAAAGGTTATCCCTTTCAGTGGAAACTCACAGACTTGGTCGAAAACTGGAACCCCGAAGACACGCAGGTCCCTCAAATGATATACAACGGACTCTGTGTCTTTGACTACCAAAAAGACTTGGACACGGCAATGACGTATCGAAATGCAGAACTACCCTTTGTCGTTGTCGATGATCCGCGCATTGATGCAGCCGCGGAACGATGGAACATTCCTGGATACATGGACCGAATGTTGGGAGACGTCCGTCATCGGACCACCATGTCCGAGACAAACCACTTCTTGTACGCCATACCACCGCCTCCAGGTGGAAGAGCACAAATGAGAGGAGGAAGGAAACATCGACGCACTGCACCGCCTGGTTGGACAGAGCCCACGGAAGCCACCAGAATGAAATACTCTACTTGGTTGGCACATGCAAATGTCACCGATGAAAAGTCTGCACCCGATCAGCCACATTGGTACTACCGACTCATTGGCTGTGGATTGACTGGACCCGATGGATCTTGTGACCAGGGATCATCCGAATACCTTTACGATGAGCTACCCTTCTTCCAACCCACTCCGGGAGGCTTGTATCTGCGGGATGCCGAAAAGCAAAAGGGAATTCATTGTCGCTTCGGACAGAAAGGAATTGTGGCAGACAACCATTTTGATGCCGGCCGAAACACCATTGTCGTACTCGGTGGATCCAGACGATACATGCTTGCTTCGCCAGACCAATGCCCGAACATGGCACTCTACGAAAAGAACCATCCTTCCGCTCGACATTCACAAGTCAACTGGAGTGATCCAATGGATTGGGAAAACTTCCCGCAGTTCAAGCAAGCTCTGGGCAATGAAGTCGTACTTCAAGCAGGCCAGGCGCTTTATCTGCCTAATAACTGGTTCCACCACATCATTTCACTCGACCTCAACTTTCAATGCAACACTCGAAGTGGAAGGGGACAGGAATACATGCAGGAGATTTGGGACTGTGGCTTTGACGAGATCTAGGCCAGTACCGGTACCGGTACGGTAGGAACCAACGCACATTCCAGGTCACACAACGGTGCCACTTTTGTGAGTTGCTGCAAGCAAACCACTACAGGACTGGTGCTGGGAATCAATCGGCTGGTCTTGCTGCTTTATTTCTTGTTGTTGTAAAGCTATTAGAGCTATCAGAATGCATACAGCGTAGTCATTCCTGTCAAGTGTCTGTCGGCCAATCCATCGTTGGCACTTCGACTACAACGGTGTTGTACAAACAGTTAGTTGTTCCTGTAGCCAGATCGATCCTGATGAAGTCCTGGTGGCCGTGAAAAACCTAAACCACGTTTTTGCCGTCTACATGACAAAGTACTGTACTGTACCGGCACGACTGTACCAGTACCAGGTACTGGCTACCGGTACAAACCAGACCTGGTGCCTTCCAGCCCGAGAGGCTTATTTTTGAAAACCTGCAGCTGCTGGTTAACATTGATGACGTCATCTTGGCGCCAACTTCCGCTAGCTAATACTATCGTAGACTGGAAAACCTGCATCTGCTGGTTATTTTCCTTGAAGAGAATTGGTTGATGGCGTTCCTTTCAAAGTCATTTGTGGGTCTATTTGATTAGGGAGCTTGCTTTTGGAGGGAATGCGGGGGTCTCACTGGAATGGAGTCAATTAGGACACTGGTCATTGGAATGGATCTTTCGATCCTCTTGTAATCTTTGCTGGTAAAAATCTGGATGCGAATCCAAAAGGACCTGGTTTTCACCAGGTGCTGAGAGCTCGACGCAAAGGACAACTTAGACTCCAAAGATATGAATCTATTGATTCAAATCATTCCAGTGATGCAAGGAATACGGAACTTTGAAATGTTTTCGTTTTGATCATTATAGCCCTGCCGGCGCCCTGATTTGGCTAAATTAGCCGATACTTAGATTGAACGCACTGGGTGGAGGATGGAATCATCTGGCCTGACCCCACTTTTTAAGTGTATCTTTTTTGTGTAAACCATGGTAGAGTTTGTACGAGTCAAGTAGAATGTGTACCACAGTGTACGTCTTTTTGGATGAGTGACTGAGAATTGGAGGGCAGTCAATCGGAAGAGGACTTGACTTTCTCGAAGCAATTGAGTTTTCAGTTTCCCACACTTACTTCATTGCTATCATTCATTCCTTCGTCAAGTCAAGCCAAGTCAAGTCAAGCCAAGTTGTTCCTCCTCTGCTGGTACCAACTCCTAAAAGTCCATTGCTGCAGTACAGGAGACTAACTATTAATAGTCATTTGGCATTGCAGTAGGGACCTTGTATTGGCAGGTTTAGTTGAGTTGCTTGAAAGTTGATTGAAAGTTGATTGTCTCATAATTCCATTGGAATTTGAAAAAGTGAAGATACTAGTACTAGTAGTAGTATCAGGTATTAATAGTAAGGCTACTATTAATAAGATGAGTGATCCTGGGAGTCCCGACAGCAACAGCCACAATGGCAGCCACGGGTACAGCACAATCACGTACGATCCTTCCCGACGTCCTCGGCGGAAGATGGAAAAGACAATTCTACCAGAGAGCTACGAGCCTTCCAAGTTTTCTGTGATTTGCGGGAGAGGCAAAGGCAGTTACCAAAGTGACGGTAACATCAACTTTAGAGCTCTGGTCAAGAGCAACTTGGAGAGATACAAAGAGGCTCCTGGCCGGCTGGAAAAATCATTCATTGTCAGCGAAGTGCTCAATTGCATCCGAGAATCTTGTCCCGTGGGAGCCTTTGTCAAGTACGAGAAGGGACGATGGTACGACCTGGACGATACTGTTTGCAGGGAAAAAGTGGGAAGTCTTTTCAGGGGTAAGTCAAAGTCAAGTCAAGTCAAGTCAAGTCAAACATAGAATATACATTGCATATACCCATATACCCATATACCCATACACCTAACTCAATTGTCACATGACTTCACACTTACTTATATCATATCATACAGACTTTCTGCATACCACCTACAAGAGCAGTTCCAAAGCCAAGCACGCAAAAAAGGTCAAGGAGAAATCACAGCAGCAGGATGCAACACCAACACCAACACGTAGGAGCAGCAAAACCAGCAGTGGCCCAGGAACTCCCACCAGCAGTCCTGAGAAGGCAAGTCCGACCAAGAAAGTCAAGACCACACCCACTGCCAAGAGAAGAACATCGTCGTCGTCGTCGTCACCCAAGAAAGCACGTGTAGTTGGCACTAGTACAGAAACTGAAGTACATGTATTGTTGCCTCCACCTCCAGTTCTAGAGTCTGTTCGGATCGGTAAGCTACATCCAAAGCCAAGCAGACCTGCCGACACACCAGCATCCAACCCACCACTACCATCCGCCACACACAAGAAAACACAAACAACGCAGTCACCAATACTACATGGAGTGCAGCAACAAACCAAGCCTACCAGGATGGCCCAACCAAAACCAAAGCTGTCAACTCAGAAAGTTCTACCACGCAAGAAACAACAAATTGGACACAGTCCTACAAAACAACGAGGCATCATGCAGACTGTCACTCCTCATGACTGCATCGATCCATTGGCCAAGAAATTCTACGATATTGATGACCTCAAACCCTTGAAACTCGAGTAGCCTCAGCCGATGTGGGCCGATGGGGGCCTATGGGGGGCAGATTCCAGGCCAGGCGCCCGATACTGTTCATACACCTCCCCAAGTCCTTCAACCTCTCTAAAGCTCTCGTAAAGAACCAACACAAAATGACACGAGATGACAATTACGACAACTGATAACTGATGATAGATGTCAAGTCAACGTTGGACGACTAATTGATGGTGGTGACAACACAAGCAAGATGCGGGGCAACAACCAATCGAATGACAATGGGAGGGTTACGGTAGACTAGTGTGAGAGTCGAGTGGTTCTCGAAGTGGTAGTACGGTACCGGTACGGTTGCGAAGAAGCGGCAGAGACAGATGCCAGAAAACAGCTGCTGTAGTAGTAGTAGTAACGATAGGAATGAAACTGGGAAACGAAAACAAGGCTTTCCCGTCCAACCAGCCTGCCTCATTCCATTGTACACAGTTACTTGGGGGTGGCGTGGCGCCAAAGCCAGCTACTGCCGCACGCACTAGCTAGCTAGTAGCAAGCCAGTGCGATGTTTTGCTGGACCAACTGTTTAAACTATCCAGCCAAAACTGCTTCCTCGTCCTTCTTCCTTCTTTAGCATAGCTCAAAAGCAATTCTCCCGCAATGGTGGCATCCCGCTTATCTAGTATATACCTCATTTTCGCTGGGCTGGAGAGTGAAATTTGTCATCTATCAAAGCAAAAAAACTATGGAAAGCTGCGTTGTCATTGGGCCCCTTGGCAGTGTACGGTACGTACCACCACGACACCAGGAGGGCTTGAATCGACAGGCAGATTGTTCAGCCCGTCTTGCTTGGGACCAGCTTTACGGTAGATCTCGGATAGAGTGAAGAGGCGAGTGACAGTCTCCTCTTCACAGCCTAAAAGCAGCTGCACGTACTTTAGAAGACACCCAACCCAGTAAGGTAAAATGTACGAAATAATCAACTTCCGGCTACATGTAGTAGAAACTCAGGAGGACCAACAACCATTGCTGCGAGTTCGTCTGTACAAAGAGTACCGTATCCGGTACCGCTAGGACCAAAGTACAGCTGTATTCTTGCGGGTACCGTCCGAGTTTTCATGATAAAATTTTGGGGACTCTATAAATCTACCTCTACCGGTGCGATTGTAATGATCTTTGGCTCTGCGCACATCTACTCTTCGCGCCCTATCTACTGGTGTCGTCGGTTATAGTCGTTAATAGACTCTTCGTTGATGGATAATAGACCCACGCTTGGCGATGTTGGTGGCCGGAGTGATCCCATAAGTAATCCATCCGTTTTGGTCGCTCCAGGCAAGACATGCGGACGACATGACGGTTCGATCCTTAAGACTGGAACGTTTTTTAGGGGGAGGCGCGTGGCTCAATCGCTAAGAATGGGTAGTTGGATAACCGTACAGTTATCTACTTAGGGAGTCACATAATTCGAGATGCTGACTTCGCGCGATAGACTGCAGAGCTGATAAGAAAATTCGGGCGATTGGTGCCATCAGAGAGCAGGTGGTTTTGTTTTCTTAAATCCCGTCGTGCTAGTGAATCAAAACCACCTGCTGTCTCGTGGTGGCAACTTCCCGAAAACGGAGGATCTGTCAAGCGACGTCTTTCGGCACGAATTCAATCGAGGTTGACTGCTTGCGAGCTAGCTAGCTAGCTAGCTAGCTAGCTGGTAACACCACTCTCCATTACATGCAGTTCGTTTTACTAGTAACTTCATTGGAGCACCATGGCCGAATCGATCGCCTCTACCCAAGAGTCTTTGGGCAACGAAAGCCATGGCGGCGACGACGATGCAGATACGTCCGATGAGGAGGCGGATGAAGTGGGTTTGAAGAACACGACGCCGACAGCGAAGAAAGCTCCCAAGAAACGAAAACGAAAAGGTCAAGGCAAAGGAATCGGCCCAAGAAGAAAGAGCATTTCCAAGGACAAGAAGCGGAATGCACATTATGCAACGTTAGCTCTACAAGCAGCAACTGTGGGGGATGATACGGGATCTCCAGCCGCGATCGTGACACCGGAACAAAGTCACAATCTTCGACCACGTCGTTCCCCAGTTTCTTATATGGATCCCATTGATGATACCGAGGTTGCCGACATTGCCGGTGAATCGCAGGAAGAGAAGAAAGATGAAGACAATGATAACGAGGATTCAAAACCACCTGCTGTCGCGACAGACACTCAAGGACGTCGCATTGTCCCCTTTGATCAAGCCAAGCGTCGTCGTCAGGCAATTGCGTTCTTTTTCATCGATCGGTTTCATTGCATTGACGAATCAGACCACAATTGGGATGGACAGAACGGTGTTGCGGCGAAAATCTCCCGGCTTTGTGGATTTGCACCTGACACCGATCTACGTCCAGTCAAAAACGTGATGCGTATTGTGTTGTCCTACCGAAAAATTGGATTGGATTACAACGGCGAAGCAGCAGGAAGAAAGGAGTATGCGAATTTCTTGTTAGAGTCTGGGAGCTACGAGTTTCAATTGATTGCTGATTGTATCGAGAATAGCTTCTGGAAGACACGGTAATTGATTATTTTTGCTGAAACTGGATTCAGCAAATTCAGCATTTGTCAGCATCAGATTCAGCAATTTCAGCATCATTCAGCATCAGTCAGCATCTGTCAGCATTTTTCAGCAATGGATTCAGCAAGTTCAGCAAGATTCAGCAGAATTCAGCAATTACTAGTAAATAACCATGGTTGGATTCAGCATCTGTCAGCATTTTTCAGCAATGGATTCAGCAAGTTCAGCAAAGTTCAGCATCAGTCAGTATATTTCAGCATCAGTCAGCAAACATCATCAAAAATTCAGCAAATTTCAGCATTCAAGAATGAAAAATGCTGAAATTGCAGAATGACCGTGTCTTCCAGTTATGTTCAAGCTACCCATATGATCAACGAGCATCGTCAAGAACAAGGACTCATCCACGTTGGCTGGCCTCACCACTGTACGTAATGCAGTGATGCGAATGCCACACATCAAGACAATCATCAAGAAGCGTCAACAGGGAAGCTTGAACAAAGAAAGCAATTGGGCTAAGGCGAACTTTCGTTGGGCAACGCAGTTGTTGATCCGGAGTGGCAGATTCCCGGATTCAGAGTTGCACAAGCTAATGGTGGACGGACCTGATGGCGAAAAGGTTCTGCCAGATTGCTTCAACAAGGAGAAGCTACCGTGTTTCAATGACTACAACGTCATCTATTTCGATGAATCACACAAGAAGGTTCGCGTCGGCACAATAGGATCTAATGGAAAGCCAGTGCAGATTCGATTCAAAAGGTTGGCGAATGGAAAGATTGCCAAGCCAGGAGAGGGTGGATCCTACCGCGAAGCCGGCACTGAACTTGGAATGAAATACACGGAAGAAGCCCGTTTCTGTCTTGGTGTTGGCAAGAAGATGGTGGATGGAGACGAAGTTGGATTTCGGTTGCCGTTGTTCGAGTACACAGAACAAACGCTTGTCACGGACAAGGACTGGCAAGACGCATTTGAGAGGGAAATGCTACGTCCACGTAGCTTGACTGGAGAAAAGAAGGGCCCATGGTACTCGACCGGACGCGAAAAAGGAGTTAGCTACAAGACGGACCCCGTCACAGTGATGAAGCACATCGGTACTGCTGCCGAAAAATGGTTGAAGGCCAATCACGGGATTGTCACGGTACAAGACTTCTATCAGAAGGTTGAGTGCAATCCTGCTCTGCGTGCCGTCCTTAAAGACAAGTACAAGAGAGCATTCCCAGGCGACAAGTTGACCGAGTGTCTAGCTATGTTCGCTGACGCAAGAGATGGACCACCACAACCAAGAGACCACACCAAGGCAGACAACCCATATGAATCCAAGTTTGGTGATTCCTGGAGAGATGAAGTCGAGAAGTCAACATCCATGAAGAAGATTGTCAACATCCAGCTGATGGTGGAGTATATGGTGAATGTTGGACGGCAATTCTTTCAAGGAACAGAGTACGAAGACAACTGGTTCTTCTATCACGACGCACTTGCACTCATGACCGCCAAAGAAACAAGAGTGTGGATGAAAGAAAAAGGATTCCTTCAGCACTGGATTTTGCCAGAGATGGGTCTTAACGACCACATTCCACGGTTCGGTGGTCGTCCCACAGGCAACAATGCTCCATTTATGCCACTTGATGACTGCCTGAATAAGGATCACGACGATGGTGTTCTCCGTCACTGTGCAGCAACATCATTATTGCCCAAGGAAGATCCACGAAAGTTCTCTCTTCGAACACCACTCCTGGTTGCATCGGCCTACAAGAGAGTCTGGAATCACGAGAATGGTTGGCCAACATCAAAAAGAATTGTCCAAGACATCAACCGAGTACCCACTGCCTGGCAGCTTGTGTATGACAACGAAGGGCTTAACACTGGAAAAGCTGCCAATGGCCATCGTGGTGATGCACAGCGAGCAGCAAAGACAAACCGAAGGAACTGGGGAGGAGCACGAAAGAAGAAGGAAATTCCGATGGACGTGTGGTATCATCCAGATGCACGCGAAGCTTTGGACGAATTCAAAAAGCGGTCTAAGCAGATCTATTATGGCGACGACTACATCGACAGTGAAGAGGCGGATTTGGAGGAACTCCTAGTTATGGACCCAGATGCTGTTGAACAGGGAGATACCGTTGAAGAGGTACAAGGCGTGGAAGGCAATACTCCAGGCAGCGAGGCAACAGAGGACCAGGTCGAAGTGTCCTAGGCGACTACTATAAAGGTTTGTACTTTGCTGTGTTGATACTTTGTGGCTATTGTCTTATCTTTCTGTTTGATATCTAACTTCTCTTGTCGCACTTCCCTTCAGTTTATAGGTGCTTTGTTGTTAAGACAGGATGTTTCTTCCGTTTATCATGAAATCTTGGTTTCGAATAGGTGTTCTCCAGTCAAATCTTCGAATTCAGTAGGAGGTGATAAGCCCAGAACACGTCGCGACAAACAGCTAACACAATTGTACTTACCTCTTGCACAGTCCTCGACGTCTCTTCCATCACCCATGCAGGCAATACAACAGCATGACCTTCCGGATTTCGTGAAGGGCAAGAATGGCGCTGTTCATGGGTGTTGAACCACTCCGGGTCGAAGCAGCAGTAAGAAATGCCGTAAGCTATGACTTCCTGACTTATGACTTCGTTCGTCTCAACATTCACGTGTTGTCTTGTCTTGAAGGTGAGCTGATCCCACAGTTGCGAGCCTTCTGGTTTCCCTTCGACATAACTGTCAAGGATGTGTTGAAGCTTCTTCTTCAACCTTTGCAGCTTGCTGTTATGAAGACCAAACAGTTCGCAGAAGCTTTGAGGACACATCTGGTACATGAGGCAATGATCTTCGGCAACACCGTGGTGCTGAGTAAGGAATAAGGGGACTTGAAAAGTCCACTTTCCACGTCCTGGATTGTTTTCGAAGGGGTATTGCACGTCAAGACAACAACCCAAGTACTGGTTGCACAGCTTCTCGGCTTCCGCGTTCCTATCAACCGAACGAAAGAGTTGACAGTAGAAGTGACGTAGATGTTTCACGTCCCAAGGAGCCATGACCAATTCTTTGCATCCACAAGTAGAACGACGGCATCCGACGAAAGCAGGTAAGCCCATCACCTCATGGCCAGTCTTCAGGATTGCTTTGTTCCATCCATCAGGTGTCTTACGACGTGGCACCATTTTGGTCTGCACGACTACATCCAAGGCCGGAGGCGTGGTGGTGGTCTCCTTGATAGCCTCCGTGGCCGACGAGGGTATCTCCGTGTTCGTCTTCGTTGTCGACACAGCAGCCTGCGCAGGGACAAGGACGCTCGTCTTGGGGCTCTTATTGATTGTGCCGCCATTGTCATCGGCGGCATCTAAGTAAGGCAACAATGACTTTGGTTCCATTGCTACTGTACGCAGGATTATGAACTAACTAGCTACTTCCTCTTGCACGTCGTTCTACTCCACTATCCAGGTGGTCCCGCAGCAGCTAACACAACAACCTACACCGATCAGAGAAGCACCTATTCACAGGAAAGCTTGAGTTGGAAACTCCAAGCGATGGAGTTGCATTGCATTGGTCGCCTTGCTCCATCGATTTCGAACTTGGATTTGAATTTTGGATGGCCTTGCCTCCTCTCACCGGAAAACTTGATTTCGCATTGTGTATCGAAGCTGTTTTGAGGACCAAATCCCGCTTCGAGATAACAAAACCAAAGTATTTATGGGCTCTTCCGATGCCACATCAAACAACAACCCTTCCTATAAGTACATTTGGTGGCAACAAACGCAACAACAGGTAAGTCGACGTCCAATTCCAAGGACACAGTCGTCTCCGCAATGGTTGAATTACTCTGATCAACCTGTCGCCGTCGCTCTGCGTTGGAATAGGAAAAAGGTCGCATCCTGGCCCCGGACGACACCCCCAAGAATAAGTACGGTAGTACCGGAATGGTGTCCAACGTATCGACTCGACTCTATTGGTAGCGGTAGCGGTTTCGAAGCCAGCTGACACTCTTGCTAGCAAGCTAGTAGAGACCGCGTTGGAAAGCTAAACTTTTTAAAAGACCTTGGTTGCAATTTGGGAGCATACTAGCTA